ACTGTTCTCTGGGATTGTCTAATAATAATAATAATAATAATAATAATAATAATAATAATAATAATAATAATAATAATAATAATAATAATAATAATAATAATAATAATAATAATAATAATAATAATAATAGTAATAATAATAATAGTAATAGTAATAGTAATAGTAATAGTAATAATAGTAGTAGTAGTAATAATAATAATAATAATAATAATGATAATAATAATAATAATAATAATAATTGTTTTCATTAAATCAATCGTGTTCTCGTGATAAAAGTAAGTCCCTACAGTTCCATTCGAGCAGTGAGGTTAGGCAAGGTTGTCCAATTTATTTATTCCTCTTCAACTTTGCTATCGATGTCATTTAGGAAGCAGTTCTGATGGATATAAGTAATGGCGGTGTTGATCTGTTGCCTGGAGAAAGACTTCTCGACCTTGAGTATGCGGATGATATTGTCTTACTCTGCGATAATGCCCAAGGCATGCAATCCGCACTTAGTCAGTTGGCAATCGAAGTGCGTAAGCATGGTATGTGCTTTGCACCTTCGAAGTGCAAAGTACTTCTACATGACTGGCAGGATTATAATCCTATACTCACCGTGGATGGTGAGGAGATAAAAATAGTCGAGAAGTTCGTATGTATAGGTAGCTGCTTAAGTGCTGGTGGTGGCGTGAGTGTTGAGATCAGTGCATGTATAGTGAAAGCCAGAGCGGCTTATGCCAATCTGGGTCATCTTTGGCGCCTTTGTGATGTTAGTTTGGCTGCAAAAGGTCGGATCTACAACGCGTCAGTGAGAGCAGTTTTGCTCTATGCTTGTGAAACCTAGCCCATTGAGCGGAGGATGTTAGACAACTCTCTGTGTTCGATCATCGCTGTCTCCGAAGGACTGCTGACATCCAGTGGCAACACCATGTCAGTAATGCAGAGGTTCGGCATCGTGTGTTCGAGCACAGAGATGATAATGCAATCGATGTCACCATCTTGAAACACCGAATTCGGTGGCTTGGACATGTTCTACGAATGTCGTCCCTGAGAATTCCACGTCGTGCATTATTTGCCGTCTCTGGGACAGGTTGGAAGAAGAGGATAGGTGGCCAGTGTATGGCATGGTGTCGTGGCTTGAAAGAAAGCTGCAAAGGGCTGGCTTGTGTTGGTCCTTCACGACTCCCTGGTTGGGGTCCGAGAGATGGTGCAACACAGTGGCTAGAGACGTTATCAGATATGGTTTAGAATAGAAGCCAGTGGCGATCCTGCTGTACCATTCTTTTACTTTCTTCATAAAAAGTGGTTGTGTCTCCCTTACCTGAAAGATTTCTTCTGATTGTACCTCTTCGTCATTGTTCTCTTTTTCTTTTGCGTTCCTTAGTTTTTTTTCTTTCTACTTCTCTTCGAATTCCCATTGTTTTGTGTGGCGCATATATATTGGCGCTCTCTTATACCAATATTTATGTGTTCAAATAAATAAAATAATAAATAAATAAATAAATTTGCAAGAAAGAGGCGGTTATCTGAGCATAGCTGCAATAGACGGTCGCCATTATCTGTTCTTTGTGACACGACGCTATAAGATCCACCCAGGTGTCTTTCCCTTTCTCTTAGTTTACCTACTTGAGCAATAAAGTCACCAGCCACTAATACTACATCAGAGCGCCTAGCTTTTCGGAGGTCGGAAAGCTTTCTGTAAAACTCATCTTTTACATCATCTACGTTGCAGTCGGTGAGAGAATAGGCAGAGACGACAAAGAGGCAACGACGAGTGTCCCCATCTTTCCGAGTCCCTACTGTCCCGTTTTGTCGGACAGTTCACAAACGACTGTCTACTGAGATCCAGTGTAAGAGAGCTAGTTCTTCCCTAAGACTCAATGCTATACCTACGCCGGCGAGGCCACGAGAAGCAACATCATAGCTTTCAGATACACGAAGTGCGAACCGTGTTGGTTCTATATTTTCGCATGGTGATGTCAAATGAACGACGCTACGCGGATCCTGTATGCGCGTTTCGGAGACACAGCACACACTGATAGCGCGAGATTCTAAAGTCCTAGTTAAGGGAGCCTGTTGTCCTATTTGGCACAGTGTTCGTACGTTAAAAGCTCCTACATGTAGTTTAGAGCGTGGTTTCAGGAGACCAGGAATAACGTTCCGCGTACTCGAATCGTTTGCCCTAGCGGTGCGAGGTGATAAAGGGACGTGAGAAGGGTTAGTTGTGAAGATAAGAGTGGTTTAAGGAGGTGTAGGAAGGATTTGAATGTGACCAACTTGGTCTCGTGTGCTGTTACGGGTATGAGGGCTGGTGTCACTTCCCGGCTGCCCACACCGTGGAAGGGTATTTCTTGAGGAACCTGAAAAGAAAGTTGAATCAATGTTGGCCTTAACGACCTGGGGGTGTGACCGCAGAGCCCAAGGAACAACTGTTTGCGGCCGGTCGTGCACGGCCTTTTCGTGGGAGGCTTTTAATGTGTTAGCTCTGTTGTTCAAAGGGCCTTACCACCGGAGACGGAAATCCGTGAGGTAAGGTGACTTATGACATTTTTAGGGTCAATCTTTTCTAACTCCTTCCTTCCTTATGAGAAGGCAGCATCGCTGCAGATGTTGGTTGTCTGAGGGAAACATCTTACTGCTGTCACACCCCTCTACAGTCAGAAGTACGACTTCTCCCTCAGACCTTGAGATTCCATAGCAGTGTGCATTTATGACCGTACAGAAGATTTTACCTAGGACTTGCATGTCTTATGATAAGCTTTTCACCTTCAGATTACTGAGCACGTATCTAGTGGTTTACTTGTGTAAATTCCATGAATTCGCGTTAATACATAATCATTTTCGAACACAATCTAGCAATCACTTTGAAATATATGAATATTATACATTCACGATCAAATCAGTGATCTCCGCACCCCCACCTCCTACTTTAACGTTGATTTTACGCATGCTGGTTGTCCGAGGGAAACGCCTTACTGCTGGCACAACCCTCTACAGTCAGCCGTACAACTTCGCCCTCAGACCTTGAGTTGCTGCTTTTAGTCTTACCGTTCTCCAATTGACCTGCCTGGCATGGTAGAACCTACAGGAACATATGTTCCAGCCAATATAGCTCGGTTGGGTCATCACGATAGGCAAGCCCGACCACCGCATCAAGGTAGCAGCTACGGTCGGGTGTAGTACATTTAGCAAAAATAGTACGCAAATTTATTATAATCGAGTCGAAATACTCTTAAAATGGTTGTTATGAAAGACTGATAGTCTGAGCTATTTATATACAAATCTGAATAAATTTCTATTAATGGGCTAGATGAAGTAGAGTACAGTTTACTGGATTTTACCAACCGATGGATATTAAATAAATCTTAACGATTTGTTTATTACTGAGATTTTAGGTGATTGGAGGTAGTTGACAAAAAACCCTATTTGATGTAAGTTCTTTATTATTTGATACTCGTTAACAAGGTGTTCAACCCGTTATGTCCTGTTATGACCTTGACGTCTGACTTTTCTATCATGCGACTTATCCACCAATCAGAATGCGACTTATACAAATCTTCACACTACGCCAAACCAATGACGTTCAACCGGTATGAGCAGTCTAGCGTCCTTATTGGTCCTATGTCCTCCTAGCCCATCCACTAGAGTCCACAACACAACACCAGTTTCTGCGATATGAATTGGATCGTTTATTTCAGACGTACTCGGTTTATATATCAACCAGACAGACCACAACGTACCATAAAATAGAAAACAACATGTGTACACAAATAAGCCGAAAAGTGGCTGTGAACGCTGGAGATAGTAATTAATAGACTGAACATAGATTAAGAACCGTAAATCGTTTAATAATAAATTATAGGTCAAAATGAAGCTTATAATAAGGGAAATATAAATATACATAATGTAATTATTGAATAGTTATACAATAAGAACATTTATAGAATATTAGTCCATTAATAGTCCTCAGAAGTTACCCGTAATTTAATCTTCATTCGGATATAACATGTCCTTTAGCCCTCAAACTATTACGTGACAAGATCGCCAATCAGAACACCAACCTATAACGACCTTGACCCTGTACCAAACCACTGACTTGTTAAACAGCTCGAGCAGCCTAGAATTAACTCTGAGTCCTTGCTGGTCCTTCTCGTATAGCCCTGCCCGTTTCAGTCCAGAACACAATCTCAGCTCCCTCTGTATGAACCGTATACTTCAGACATGCCTGGCTTATACATAAGCAGATCAGACCATATTACACCATAAAATGAAAACTAACAATTATACAAAATCAAGCCATATTGGCTATAAATATGGGAGACTGTAACTAGTAGATTATATATATATATATATATATATATATATATATATATATATACATAGCTTACTGTCCTATAAGTCTTCCGATAATGGAGGATAACATAGAGGTTTTCAATTTCATTCTAGATATAGTTACTGGCTTCAGTGTAGCCATCTTGACCTTAGCTAATAAAAATGAGTAATATGTTTCTTTAGCAAACCTTCGTAGCGAAAATACGCTGCGATACTGTACACCAACTCAGAAGTGTCAGCGAAGTAATGCGTCTAAACAGATGATTATATAAACGATTCTGGCATAAAACATCATGATACTCGCAATAAGTTTAAACTTTATAATTTTATACTAACAATCACACCTCTTGAGGCGCTCTATAGATAAGCACTTTGTAAGATCGCTCTAGCCAATGAGATCATTTCAGTTACAAACCCAACTGAGTTAAAGATTGAGATCATTCATGACAAAATAATCTTTCGAGTTGGGTGCATGTTAAACTCATGCAATCTAAAGTATAAATTAATAGTTCAGGCATCCCACTGTATTTTTCAAGTTCTCGTCGCCTACGCAAAAATCTCTACCTAATCAGTCATTGAGTAACATTAACGTTTTCAGTTATCAATCCACTTCCCTTTATTTTCCTAATTCCCCATTTCACTTTTTTCGATTATTATTATTATTATTATTATTATTATTATTGCAGTCGCATTTACAATCTTCCATAATGTTATGTATCATGGAATCCAGCCTGGATGAAGAACGTAATCCAACAGTACTGGCAGCTAGTATACGTTCTCTGTCATGTCTAATTAGTTCAATGTCGGATTCTTATAAATTGCCACAAATTATACGTCGACTTAATTCATTTCTTATACAAACTGCAAATATATTCAATGATCCGCAACAGTTGAAACTGTTTTATTTATCAAATAAGAATTCATCATCATCGGGAACAACAACGACAACGGTGCAATCATTATCTAATCTCATATATAATGCTACTATGAATTATTTCTTATCATCTATAGCTCAATGGTGTTTAGAATTAGACTCGATTCAACAAGTTCTACTTGATCCATGGTTAATTCATTTCGATAATTATATTTTAGTAAGTCTATATTGTCTCTGCTTTTTGAAAAGAAATCATAATAAATATTTAGATTATGGCTAGAGCAGTATTTTATCGACCACAACCAATTAGAATGTAATTATGGCACGAAAAGCTAATCCAACGTCAATCCTGAATATAAATGGGGCTTTTAAGAATCCTAATAAGTGTGTTTACTGTTTATTTTACAACAGCATCAGGGTCAAGTTTGTTTGACGTCCTGGTGATACGTACAATAGGACTGATCCCTAGAAGTATGATCTCAACTGTCACAACTGACTCTCATTTACCTAATCAATACGTTAATCATTATTCTCAGTACACCATTTACAAACCATTGACAGTCACACACAGACCACTATCGCTCTCGATCATACTAATCATTATCGATTGTCACCAACATGTTATTGTTGACTAAACAACTAGCCAACTAACTCGTACACACTGATCATATGATCTTACAGTTTTCCCACTACCATGCACCATATACTACTGATACGATGCAGAATTTCTACTACTACCTGACTGGTTCCATGCTCCTCTCCATCTAGTCCGGTTTAATTAATACTAGTTAGTACAATTAATTCTACCACACAATAATGTATATTATCACTCAGTTGTATCAAAGTCCTAAAATAAAACAACATCATGGTATTTCCAGATTCTTATTTTCTGTACTAACAGTTACACGAGTTGAGTGGTATTGTAATTAAATTACATAAAAACAGGTCAACTAAACTCAACAGTGTACACGTTATTAGCCAGGTCAAAACGTCAGTTCGTAAAATTATGGACTATTGCTTTGAACCATGTGGATAAATGTAGACTACCTGGTTAGGGTCCGCACGATAAACAGGATCAGTGATTAGTGATGTTAAATAATGTAGTTTAGAATCGGTCATAATGGCTACAGACATTTCAATTCTTTGTTTGACTCTAATCATTGAGTTTCAACATTTCTTCATACATCTCTTTTCAAAAATTAAGAATATTCGAGCGAACAATTGTTTTCAATAACTTCATCATCAGGCTCTACAGTTCTAAGTCCATAATTATTGTGTTATTTTACTAAGGCCAAATAAGGCATGTATTAATCAAATGGACAATGGTATATGTTAAAAATGGCCAACATGAGCATCTGTTATGACATAAATACTTCGAAATATTGTTATTTGTAAATTAGAAAGGTTCGAATGATTTGGAGTAGTGTCAAGTCACAATCAGTATGATAGTAATATAACAAAATTAAAATGGAAAAAATCATGTGCATAAAATACGTAGTAGGAGAATTTCATCTTGTTAATCGAGGTAATAATAATATCGTTTTGTGAATATAATATGTAATAAGATGGGCGTGTTATCAAGACAATTACGATAGAAAGGATTCATGTGAATTTGGAAAGATGAATATGAAGATTCAGAAACATGTAACCAAAAATGGGGAAGGGGGATAAGAGGTTTTCAATATCCTATGCTCCGGTTGTAGGCCAAAGTAAATATAGAGGCTGGATATATCCATTCTGGATACACATGTTTGGTTTTCTGGAGTTGATCCAGATGGCTTCGGCTATATAGAGTAACCGTAATCTAGCTTCTTGAGGTAAATTCTTTGGAACTTGATATAAAACAGAAAACTCCCTCTATTTGAATATGAGGTTAACTATCTACCAATTGAGAAAGAATGGTACCATAAATCATTTTAGTAATTCCTTTTCCCAACCATGCTGGTACATGTTCACGAGCACACAAGAATAAAGCCCTCTGAGTACGGCCTATGTAACTAGCTCCACATGAGCAGTTGAATCGGTATACACACATGGAGGAGCCCATCCTTGATTTGTTGTGTGAGTACTAGTTTAGTTGAGAAAATTATGTGTAACTTTGCGGCATGAAAAATCCTTTCAACAGATCTTTTGAGTTGACGTGTTAAAATTCCACTCGCTGTCTCCTAAGTCCAGTTTCAGTTACAGGGTTGCTTTACTGACCGAGAGCCACAATTTCTTTTTTTTAATACCTTCTAATAGAAATCTTCTGATGAAACTATCTGGATGGCTGTTATTTCGTAATGTCTTCTTTAGTGTATTTATTTCTCTATCTACACAATTTTCAGAACATAATAGTTTGATCCTGTGACTGAGACGTTTTACCAAATTTATTTTGTATTGAAGAGGTGCAAAGCTATGGAAATGGGTATATTAACCCGTCCATGTATTCTTTCTAAATGTATTTCTTTTTATGACGCGTCTATCCTTCTAGAAAGTAGAACACCAAGGAATGCTATACTACTGTCTTTCAATAGCTGGGTGGACGTTATTGAAACAGTTCAACAGCTCTTCTTTATCGATATTCTCGTCACATACGATTAGTTTGTCATCTATATATCAACAGTAATAATCTAGATTATTTAGGATGTCTTTCAACAGTCCATTTTCTAGTTGGACCAGAGAAATATTACCAAGGATCGGGCCTAGGGGTGATCCCACTGCTATTCCATCTATTTGACTGTAAAATTCATTGTTAAACATAAAGTAGATATTCATAGTATATTTCAACAGAAGCTCCTTCATTTTATTTATTGAGATCGGTATCTCTATTTTCTCTTCTAGCAATTATTCACACATCTAATCGATATTTTCATTCAATGGGATGTTAGTGAACAAAGATTCTGTATAGTGATAACATGGTTCCACTATTTATATTCATATTTTTTATTGTATCCACAAATTCAAATACGTCTTTGACTCTATGCTTAACCGATTCTCGGTGTAACAGTTCTAATAATTCCATCCAAAATTTTTGATTCATAATCCTATTCGTGAAATATTGACTCTACCGTGGATTGGAACTAAATAAATGTTAGTTTTTTTCTAACTTAAGTTTACTCTGTTTAGAGTGTGGTATGCCAAGTGAAATTAAGCTATGATCAGTGACCAAAGGCAGATGTATCCAGCTACACTAAATATAAGAGACTTTCGCATACGTAAAATTCATACCACTTTAATTCCATATGTTGACTATTCTATGTTATGTGTTTATAAGCAATCGTTTGTGCCTTTGTTTCTGCTTCTTGGTCATTGAGCAAATGATTAGTCGTATGTTTCACGTGACCAAATATCCCGATCCACGACTGCAATTTCTTATGTAGCCTAATGTTTCCGGCTCATCCAGTTACATGCTCGATCAGCACCATTGACATTGAGCCAACACAGCTAAGTCTGTTATCCGTAAACTTCTCTCTATCCCCTGCCTTAAGTCCTTAACTCGACAGCCAGCTTCTACCGTATTCATATTGTAAATAGACGTGGTTTGGATATAGACACCCCGAACAACACTACACCATAAAGTGAAAAATAAAAATTGTACATAATTGAGAAATAAGTGACTGTGAATAGACCAAACTGTAATTAATAGACTGGAAACATATTAGGAATATTAAGTCGTATGACAGTACATATATACACACAGTAATCTAGCTACTCATTACAGCAAACTTTTAATTAGTAAGTTCTAAAAAACCCTTCCCAGTTCTTTCAATATTTGTCCCGTTAAGAACGATTTCCTCTCTCTCTTCTCTTTTTGTAGGCACGTCAAAATACTAAAGATGAGGTCGCACCTGATATGGTATTGCTTTATTTAAATACTCTATATTATTTAGCACCATTTCTTCATGCTTGGTTATTATTATCATTAATAAAAAAATCAAGTCCTGATGAAAGTTTATGGTTGTCTATGCGAAATCTACTTCATGCTTATCGTAATTCAACTTCAGAATTTGAACATCTTTTGAGAAAGAATTTCACATTTAAAGGTAAGAGTAATAAACTCATATATCTTAACTAATTATTTCAGTTAATTCTTTTTCCTTTGCTCATTAAGTAATTTATTATAGTCATAAATAACATGGAACCTGGTTTACTCGAACTCTCACCCTTAGGTTGTATCTTAGCGAAATACTAATTTTGGTGCTGAAAATTATATGCTCATCAATTTAGTGCCAGCTATTGACTGTATTTGGTATCACGGACGAATGATGAACTATAAGTCGTTGAATAATCTAGTATATTGTTATGGACTTAATCACGTTAGCGTATAACGGAACAAAACAAGTCGAATACAAGAGTGATTTTGGCCACATAGATTTCATACAGCCATTAATATTAACAGACAATAAAGGATGCAAAGTGGAACAGGCAAAACACTATTCAAAATATTACTCATTATAAGCGCTAATGTCACTCAAAATAGACAGCGGATAGTGCGATCAAGGAAGCATGTATACGATAATAAGTGTACAAATACACACATAAGATGTATAAGTATAGAATGACAAGGAAAAGAATATACCACAACCCTTTACTGATAGATTACTGTTGTTTACTATTTATGTTATTTACCTATTTGTTTTTTCGATCTACAAATGCTGTTGTTTTTTATTCTTCACATTATGGATCACACAGAGCCTGACCTAGTCAAATCTTCTCCTACTAATACCGCCACCACCATTACCAACATCAACACCACATTGGATTTCATTGATACTTCAATAATTCTTGGACAAGATAGCTTTGAAATATTATCAGAAATGATGAAATATATATGTAAGTCAGACTTGTCAATGTCAACCATACCATCAACATTATCATCAAATCAAACTGGTGATTTGGAACAATCATTTCACGCTAGTCATATATGTCAAATCGATAAATGGATAGCAAAACAATGGTTTGATAAACATTTAATCTGTAAATTAATTGACTTGCTGGAACAATTACCTTATTGTAATAATGGTGATGTTTGTTTAAAAATGAAATCATTTCTTGACTTGGATTATGCTAATGGTTGTTTTGATGATGTAATTAAAGTGAGTGTAATTAATCTACACCATGTATATTTTATCAATTTTGTGATGTGAAGAGATGAGTTTTGTGTATCTTCAGTTAATCGAAACACGAATGACCTCTATTGAATTACGGGGGAGAGGGAACTATCTTACTCCATTGACACACTTTAAATGCCTATTTATCTTGAACGTTGACTTATCACTCTCGGTTTCCACCAATTAGTTTTCTATTCTATCTTTTAAAATCAGTTTCAGTTTGAAAAGGACAGGATGCTAGATGGCATGTGTTAGTCCTGGCAATGATGGTCTCTCAGTTGATCCAACTTTCTTTCGAAAGCTTCGACAGATGGAGCTTTAATCACGTGTTGAGGTAATGAATTCCACTCGTTGATGACTCGATGGGAAAGTCGATAGTCAGCTGACAAGTAATTTGTTCTGGGTTTGTGAACTTTTTTGGAGTGTCCTCGTAAATTCTCTGTTTTGGAAGACAAGAAAAATCAGGATATATCAGGTGCAAATTTATCACTAAGCCATTTTAAAACTGTAATCAAGTCGCCTCTAGTTCTTCGATATGACAAGGGGAATAGGTTTAGCTTGGCCAATCGAGCATCATATGGAAGCTTCGCTATTCCGGGAATCAGCTTAGCTGTTGTTCTCTGAACCTTTTCCAAAAATTCACTGTCTCTTTCTAAGCAGGGGCTAGCCGATTGTATGCAGTACCCAAGTTTAAGACGTATGGACACTGTATATAAAGTCAAAAACGTTTTAGCATCGACATGACTAAAGGCCCTACATATTGATCATAAGGTTTTAAAACCTTTGGCGGCTATTGCACGGCAGTGTGCAGTAGTCTTGGCTAACGATAACTCCTAAGTCATTATGTGTCGGGACGACAGGTAGCTCACTGTTATTCATCGTGTGTGTATCTATACCTTGATGACCGGTATGCATCACAATACACTTGGAAGTATTAATCGGCAACTGCCAGGTTTGATACCATTCAGATTATTTCTCCAGGTCATTTTGAAGTTCTAAGCTATCACCTTCACTTCTTATCGCTCTCCATATCTTGATATCGTCAGCATACAGCAAGACCGATGATGATAGGAGACGAGGAAGGTCATTTACATACAAGAGGAATAACAATGGCTCCAAAACTGTACCCTGGGGCACTCCACTAAGCACAGTTTCCCAGCTAGACAACTTGGAGTTCACCCGTACGCTTTGTTGGCGCCTAACTAGGAAGTCTTTTATCCAAATTAATAGATTGTCTACAAGCTTGACATTTCTTAACTTATATAATAGCCGGTTGTGAGGAACTTTTTCAAAAGCTTTGCTGAAGTCAATGTAGGCCTCGTCTATTGGTAACTTTTGGTCTTTAAGAGCGCACCAGCTTTCACGAGCCACTAATAAGTTAGTGAAACAGGACTAAGCTTTTCTAAAATCATGCTGCTTTTCCGAAAGGATCCGGTTTTCATCGAGATACTTAAACAGCTTCTTCCGAATAATCTTTTCTAAAATTTTAACAACCACGCTAGTTAGGTTAACTGGTCGATAGTTCTCAGGTTTATGTTTAGTACCCTTTTTGAAGACAGGACTTACTGTGGCGTTCTTTTAGTCGTTTGGTAATCGATCCTGGGTTACGGATATATTAAATCATACGTAAGGGGTTCATAACGAAGTTAACTCGTTCCTTTAGTAACCTAGGACGCAGTTCATCGGGTCCTGTGGATTTGCCTATATCAAGCTTATTTAGCAGACCAAAGACATCGAGTTTTTTAATGGACACATTGTCGTTTGTGTGTGTGTGGGAGAATTTGTATGAATCAGTATATACATTGCTAAAGTAGTTTGAGATTACTTGAGCTTTACCAAAGTCGTCCTCCACTAATGAAGCAGCATTGTTTCCCCATAGTGTTGAAATATTTCCTCTACTTTTAGTCCTTTGGTTTATATACGAATACAAGCGTTTAGGGCATTCGATAGCTTCCTTAACAAGTCTTTCCTCGTACAACTGTCTAAACTTTCTGAGGGTCGAGGCACGAATATTTCGAACTTCCCGATACTGAATTTTGTGTCATCAGTACCCAGTAACTTAAATCTCTCCCACGTTCATCTCTTACGGAGAAGGGTATGAACATTTTTATTGAGACACTGTGGGGATTTTCTCGACCCCCTTAGTGTAGTCCAAGGGATGTGGGTGCAGTAACTTTTATGTATAAATTTCAAAACGCCGCATCCCAAGCTGTTTCAATTGTGGTCTGGCACTATTGTCCAATCTACTGACGATGTTGAATGTATAATATCTTGCATATCGACGATTTGGGCAGCTAGGTTGTTTTTCCTGCTAGACAGAGGAAACTTCCTTTCCTGAATTTTCATTTAGGACAGACCTCTTTGAAGTTGGTCTTTCCTCCTTTGATCGATGCGAGTCCGCTGTTACCAAGCTTATTTGAGGTGGCTTCACATCAATTTGTGTGTCGACAGAGCAAGTCCTGTCCTATGTGTCAGAATGAGATGATTATCCAATACTCCTTGATTTCCAATGATTTTGCAGCTAATCTCAGTTTATGACAAAAATCCGCCTTTGAAAATATTTATATAACGATTTATTGTGTTTATAAGAAAACACTTTTGCTGACAGTAGAAGTATCTCTCCTCCTGATTATTTCCAAGTGTATGCAACAATCCTTATTAAATTTCATTGTTTCATTGCTCTTATTATATTTTCTCATCATATAACTCATTTGATTGATTTATACTTATCATTTTTCTTTAGCATCAATTTGATGAATATTTCGCTTATCCATGCACAGAAACATTACAATCGAATAATTTTAAAGTAGCTTTTTCCGTATGTCGATTTCTTGTTTCAATTGGTAATGCATTGAAATCAGATGGTGTGTCAAAACTAATTGCACCACATTTTAAAGTCAAACTAATGAAACAAACAGAACATGGAAGTAAGTTTAATGTTATGAAATTAGATTTTAGTTAATAGTTGGAATTTTAAACTCTCCCGATAATTCAGTTTTATTTGTACTACACGAATCACTCTACTCATAAGTAGTGCATTTTTCACAATGAAAATGATTCAACGGGTGTGGAACTCATTTTTCTGAATGTACATCCTCAACTAACTTAAAATCAAACAGATATTGAATATATGATTTTAGATGGTGAGGGAAGTCTTGTTCATCATATCAAGTTTTAAGTTCTGTGCTCTAATCATGTTTGCTGTTTATGTAAAGTAACTCTGTTCATGTATTCATCATCGCCGAACTAGACAAAATAGGTGTCAAAAGTATGTAGTTCCAAGTTATTCGATGTTGTTCAGCCGGATTTCAGAAATCTATTCAATGTTGAATAATTCCTCCACCATACTGAAGGCTTTTTAGCTTGCCTCTTATGGTCATCTGAAGACTTTGTTGGAGTTATCATCAAATTTACGATTGGGTAGTAATTGATTTCATGTATCTCAGGTCCTTAGTAGTGCAGATATAATGTTATCAATCAAATTCCAATGTGGCCATTAGTCTAGATGCAAGTTTGAGGTGGAGGTGGTCGACTACCTGCTATCATCACAACGGATTATACATTGCTCTGATTAAGGATATTTACTACCAAATCTTATGTACAATTTCGCGATATTTTGATTTATCTATTTACTACAGTTTTCTTAATGATTCACTTGTCACTTTAAAAACAATATCCACAAGTTTAAGGATACGTATACCATAGTTGTTTCAAATAAAATCGTATTTTTTATGCTATTGAGTAGTAAGCCAACCTGGATCGATACAGTTGTATAAGTTTCTATCTTGTTGATTCTAATAGTTTGGTTGATCAATCACTGAATTACATATTCATTAGTAAAGTCGCGAAACGTCTTTTTCATATTAAGTAACTTTCGAAAAATTAATGGGTCGTATTTTTTTATTTTCCGTGTTAAGTATGAGTATTAGCATTTCTATTTTTAAGTGAAACTCACTTAAAATAACCAGGTAGATTATTATGTATATATATATATATATATATATGCTATGGTTGGAGAACTCTAGATGGAACCAAACTTTCTAGTGTTCAATCAGTCGTTCATAAGCAAAGTAGAACCTTAATATGCATGTTCAGCGGTAATAGTGAGGTTAGACGCAGGGTATTAGGTAATGATGGTAAATCAGTTGATGAGGTTATGAATCTTAATCGACTGAGGTAGTTGGGTCACTTGTTACGTATGCCTGAACACCGTTTACGACGACGCACAATGCTGACTAGTGCTGGAGACGGATGGAAGAAAGTTAGGGGCGGCCAAACCAAAACGTGGCATCAGTCCTTAAAGTCACTAACTTCTAGTCTGAGCCATGTTGGTAGATGCAGACTACTTGGTTGGGGTCCGCGTGACTATCGTAACCAATGGTTGGAGACTGTAGGTGAGATGGTTCAGAATCGATCACAATGGTGTAGATGTATACACTCTCTGTCTTCCCTTAAACTATGAAATGAAAATCGCTTCATATTTTTCTTTCTATGAACTAATTCTTTCTTCTTGTATTATGTCTTTATGTGCAATCTTTCTTTTTTATATTAACACTATTTAATTAACTACTTCTATGAATCCGGTGTTCATCTTATTGTGCTAACGAGGTGTGGCAACTTGGACTGATGTATATATGTGCTTGGTTCTACGTTGTAGCTGACTGACTAACTGACTGTATTACAGAGTTGATGTTCACTCTAAGACTCGAACAAAGTACATTATCTCGTCAGCTGTTTGTTTGAGGTCAAGTGAATGACCACACTAGAATCTTGTATGCGTGTTTTGGAGACACAGCATACATCAATAGTACGAGATTGCAGGGTTCTAGCCAAAGAAGCCTGTTGACCGATTTGACATAGGGAGTGTATGTTGAAGGCTCCAACGTGTAGTTTAGGCGAGGTTTCAATAGGCCCGGGACAGTGTTTCGCGCACTAGAATTGTCGGCCATGGTGACAATTGAGGAGGGAGTCAAAAGAGGAAGTTTGAAGTTGATAGTCGCGTAATAAGGAATAATATGAATTGAAGAGGTTGACTGATTATGAATATAATGATCTTGGGTGTTGTTATAGGTATGAGGGTGATTAACACTCCTCCGTAGCCCACACCGTGGAAGGGTTCTTCATGAGGTACCTGAAAAGGGCTTTTGACTAGAGGTGGTCTTAGTGACCTGAGAGCGTGGTCGCAGTGCCCAAGGGACAACTGCTTAAGGTCGGTCACACACGACCTTTTTGTGAGTAATTTTCGTGTTAGCTCCGTACTTGTTGAGACCTTACTGTCGGAGACGAAAATCCGTGAGATAAGGCGAGGTATGTATTTTTGGGGCTGACAATTTCTAACCCCACCTTTTTTTGTGGGAAGGCAGCGTCACTGTTATGCTGGTTGTGTGATAGAGACATCTTACTACCGTCACACCTATGCAGTCAGCAGAACGACTTCACCTTCGGACCTTGGGTTTGTTGATTTTAGTCTTACCCCTCTTTTATTATTATTATTATTATTATTATTATTATTATTATTAGTAGTAGTAGTAGTAGTAGTAGTAGTAGTAGTAGTAGTAGTAGTAGTAGTAGTAGTAGTAGTAGTAGTAGTAGTAGTAGTAGTAGTAGTAGTAGTAGTAGTAGTAGTAGTAGTAGTAGTAGTAGTAGTAGTAGTAGTAGTAGTAGTAGTAGTAGTAGTAGTAGTAGTAGTAGTAGTAGTAGTAGTAGTAGTAGTAGTAGTAGTAGTAGTAGTAGTAGTAGTAGTAGTAGTAGTAGTAGTAGTAGTAGTAGTAGTAGTAGTAGTAGTAGTAGTAGTAGTAGTAGTAGTAGTAGTAGTAGTAGTAGTAGTAGTAGTAGTAGTAGTAGTAGTAGTAGTAGTAGTAGTAGTAGTAGTAGTAGTAGTAGTAGTAGTAGTAGTAGTAGTAGTAGTAGTAGTAGTAGTAGTAGTAGTAGTAGTAGTAGTAGTAGTAGTAGTAGTAGTAGTAGTAGTAGTAGTAGTAGTAGTAGTAGTAGTAGTAGTAGTAGTAGTAGTAGTAGTAGTAGTAGTAGTAGTAGTAGTAGTAGTAGTAGTAGTAGTAGTAGTAGTAGTAGTAGTAGTAGTAGTAGTAGTAGTAGTAGTAGTAGTAGTAGTAGTAGTAGTAGTAGTAGTAGTAGTAGTAGTAGTAGTAGTAGTAGTAGTAGTAGTAGTAGTAGTAGTAGTAGTAGTAGTAGTAGTAGTAGTAGTAGTAGTAGTAGTAGTAGTAGTAGTAGTAGTAGTAGTAGTAGTAGTAGTAGTAGTAGTAGTAGTAGTAGTAGTAGTAGTAGTAGTAGTAGTAGTAGTAGTAGTAGTAGTAGTAGTAGTAGTAGTAGTAGTAGTAGTAGTAGTAGTAGTAGTAGTAGTAGTAGTAGTAGTAGTAGTAGTAGTAGTAGTAGTAGTAGTAGTAGTAGTAGTAGTAGTAGTAGTAGTAGTAGTAGTAGTAGTAGTAGTAGTAGTAGTAGTAGTAGTAGTAGTAGTAGTAGTAGTAGTAGTAGTAGTAGTAGTAGTAGTAGTAGTAGTAGTAGTAGTAGTAGTAGTAGTAGTAGTAGTAGTAGTAGTAGTAGTAGTAGTAGTAGTAGTAGTAGTAGTAGTAGTAGTAGTAGTAGTAGTAGTAGTAGTAGTAGTAGTAGTAGTAGTAGTAGTAGTAGTAGTAGTAGTAGTAGTAGTAGTAGTAGTAGTAGTAGTAGTAGTAGTAGTAGTAGTAGTAGTAGTAGTAGTAGTAGTAGTAGTAGTAGTAGTAGTAGTAGTAGTAGTAGTAGTAGTAGTAGTAGTAGTAGTAGTAGTAGTAGTAGTAGTAGTAGTAGTAGTAGTAGTAGTAGTAGTAGTAGTAGTAGTAGTAGTAGTAGTAGTAGTAGTAGTAGTAGTAGTAGTAGTAGTAGTAGTAGTAGTAGTAGTAGTAGTAGTAGTAGTAGTAGTAGTAGTAGTAGTAGTAGTAGTAGTAGTAGTAGTAGTAGTAGTAGTAGTAGTAGTAGTAGTAGTAGTAGTAGTAGTAGTAGTAGTAGTAGTAGTAGTAGTAGTAGTAGTAGTAGTAGTAGTAGTAGTAGTAGTAGTAGTAGTAGTAGTAGTAGTAGTAGTAGTAGTAGTAGTAGTAGTAGTAGTAGTAGTAGTAGTAGTAGTAGTAGTAGTAGTAGTAGTAGTAGTAGTAGTAGTAGTAGTAGTAGTAGTAGTAGTAGTAGTAGTAGTAGTAGTAGTAGTAGTAGTAGTAGTAGTAGTAGTAGTAGTAGTAGTAGTAGTAGTAGTAGTAGTAGTAGTAGTAGTAGTAGTAGTAGTAGTAGTAGTAGTAGTAGTAGTAGTAGTAGTAGTAGTAGTAGTAGTAGTAGTAGTAGTAGTAGTAGTAGTAGTAGTAGTAGTAGTAGTAGTAGTAGTAGTAGTAGTAGTAGTAGTAGTAGTAGTAGTAGTAGTAGTAGTAGTAGTAGTAGTAGTAGTAGTAGTAGTAGTAGTAGTAGTAGTAGTAGTAGTAGTAGTAGTAGTAGTAGTAGTAGTAGTAGTAGTAGTAGTAGTAGTAGTAGTAGTAGTAGTAGTAGTAGTAGTAGTAGTAGTAGTAGTAGTAGTAGTAGTAGTAGTAGTAGTAGTAGTAGTAGTAGTAGTAGTAGTAGTAGTAGTAGTAGTAGTAGTAGTAGTAGTAGTAGTAGTAGTAGTAGTAGTAGTAGTAGTAGTAGTAGTAGTAGTAGTAGTAGTAGTAGTAGTAGTAGTAGTAGTAGTAGTAGTAGTAGTAGTAGTAGTAGTAGTAGTAGTAGTAGTAGTAGTAGTAGTAGTAGTAGTAGTAGTAGTAGTAGTAGTAGTAGTAGTAGTAGTAGTAGTAGTAGTAGTAGTAGTAGTAGTAGTAGTAGTAGTAGTAGTAGTAGTAGTAGTAGTAGTAGTAGTAGTAGTAGTAGTAGTAGTAGTAGTAGTAGTAGTAGTAGTAGTAGTAGTAGTAGTAGTAGTAGTAGTAGTAGTAGTAGTAGTAGTAGTAGTAGTAGTAGTAGTAGTAGTAGTAGTAGTAGTAGTAGTAGTAGTAGTAGTAGTAGTAGTAGTAGTAGTAGTAGTAGTAGTAGTAGTAGTAGTAGTAGTAGTAGTAGTAGTAGTAGTAGTAGTAGTAGTAGTAGTAGTAGTAGTAGTAGTAGTAGTAGTAGTAGTAGTAGTAGTAGTAGTAGTAGTAGTAGTAGTAGTAGTAGTAGTAGTAGTAGTAGTAGTAGTAGTAGTAGTAGTAGTAGTAGTAGTAGTAGTAGTAGTAGTAGTAGTAGTAGTAGTAGTAGTAGTAGTAGTAGTAGTAGTAGTAGTAGTAGTAGTAGTAGTAGTAGTAGTAGTAGTAGTAGTAGTAGTAGTAGTAGTAGTAGTAGTAGTAGTAGTAGTAGTAGTAGTAGTAGTAGTAGTAGTAGTAGTAGTAGTAGTAGTAGTAGTAGTAGTAGTAGTAGTAGTAGTAGTAGTAGTAGTAGTAGTAGTAGTAGTAGTAGTAGTAGTAGTAGTAGTAGTAGTAGTAGTAGTAGTAGTAGTAGTAGTAGTAGTAGTAGTAGTAGTAGTAGTAGTAGTAGTAGTAGTAGTAGTAGTAGTAGTAGTAGTAGTAGTAGTAGTAGTAGTAGTAGTAGTAGTAGTAGTAGTAGTAGTAGTAGTAGTAGTAGTAGTAGTAGTAGTAGTAGTAGTAGTAGTAGTAGTATTATTATTATTATTAGTATTAGTATTATTAATAGTATTATTATTAGTATTATTATTAGTATTATTATTAGTATTATTATTAGTATTATTATTATTATTGGTATTATTATTATTATTATTATTGTTATTGTTATTGTTATTGTTATTATTAGAAGCTTTATTCAACATTATAGTTTTGGTACAACATAGAATTCTCAGCATAAAGTATTTCAACAAGTTTCCTTTTCTTATACCTTGATGGATTGTGACGATATATTTTGACTGATGACCAGTTAGATGTTAGGAGTTCGGTAATCCACATTTGATTAATGTTCATCCGTTTCAATCCATATTGCCAGCCACCATGATGTCGCTGATTGTACTTTTTTATATCACGCATAGCGAAAGGTTGTAAACTTTTCATAAACGTGCCTGAATAGATTGTCCGCACAATAGACATAATGATGTGCTAAAACAAACAACAAAACAGATAACTTGATGAAATATCTAGATCGGAGGAACAGGTAGCCCAGATATTCAAGCAGGCCGCCACTTCCAAAAAACTGACCTGTCTGACATGGTAGGACCTTGACGAACGATTGTTCCAGCCAGTATAGCTCTGTTGCTTCATCGCGATAGGCAAGCCCGACCACCACGTCAAGGTAGCAACAACGGACTCTGTAATACAAGCACATTCAATTGACGAAATGCGCGATCTGAATTCCACTGCTAGCCTAACTCTATCTATTCTACATACACTTCATTTTCATGTGTTTTTATATCGATTATCATGTATTTGCAAAAAGTTAACTAATGTTATTTTAAAATATTTCGACGTTCATCATTTAGAAGGACTTCATCATTAATCGAGCTAGCTAATGAAACTTCAATTTATTGTTAACATTGAGTCTGTTTGAATCAACTTTTCAAGGAGAGGAAATACTATGTCTAAATTTTTCTCCTTCATGATTATTTATTATTATTATATTTCAGATTATGAATATGATCACAGTTCCATGCAAACTGGACTTTTAGCTGGTTATTGCTGTTTGCTTTCTTCTACACAATCTGTACGTGAAGTGAAAACTTTAATATGAATAATTTTATTTTAATTTAATGCATTGTTACTTACTTCCTTACTCCCGTTACCCCTCATAGAGTAGCATGGGCTACCCACCATCATTCTCCATCGAACTCTGTCCTGAACAATCCTTTCCAGTCTCTATTCATCCTCCCATGTCTGCTTCCGATTCCCGACGAAATGTGTTCTTCGGCCTTCCTCTTTCCCGTTTCCCTTCACGATTCCAAGTTAGCGCTTGCCTCGTAATGCAGTTTGATTATTTCAGCAACCTATGTCCCATCCACTTCCAACATCCTTTCCTAAATTCCTCCTCAGTTAGAACCTGGTTTGTTCTCTCCCACAGTAGGTTGTTGCTGATGGCATCCGGTCAACAGATATTGAATATCGTGTGTAGAAAACTGTTTATAAGAACTTGTACCAGTTTGATGATGGTTGTGGTAGTTTTCGAAGTTTCAGCCCCGTGCAGCAGAACTGTTTTGACGTTCATATTGAAGATTCTGACTTTGATATTGGTTGACAGTTGTTTCGAGTTCCATATGTTTTCTCAGGAGCTGTAAACAGTTAATACAATTTACACTAAAATAGGAGATTTGTAATCGAAACGAAATGAAGATCTAAATTGTTTACTGATCTCATAATATTAATTGTATAAAATCATATGGTATTCATGTATTGATCCTTAAAATACTTTTATAGTATATAGAAAAATTAGAGGTAATGTCTTGTCACATGAAAATTGAAATCCTATTGTAATGTGTGCCACTCGTACAGACGTACATAAGTGGTATATGTCAAGAATTAAAAGTAGAATTCTTATAGACAGAAAAGGAAAAATAAGAGAGATAGTAAAATATAAAACAATCGAAATGATAACAGGAATTATTATTATTAATGGCTTTATAAAGTTGTCGGGGACAATTAAGGGAAGATGTGCAAATAACATATTATATAAATTCAGTTGTGTGATTTTGCATAATACAATAAATTGACTTGATATTGTTTGCTTCAATTTTCAGATTGATGTTAAGGTCTGCAATTGATCAGTCCCTTGTTGGCATATGTGCACCCTGTTCGGATTGCCTCAATATTGCCTTAAGTCATAAGCATTATAAGCATAGATGGTTATTGGCTAGCAGTGGAATCCAGGACGTACATTTCGGCCTATTTGGGATGCAGGTGCATCCAACTGACGAGTCCCAAATAGGACAAAACGCGCGTCTTGGATTCAACTGCTAGCTAATATCCATCTATGCTTATAATACAATAAATTAGTTTATCCTACCTTCATCTTCGTTCATTACAATGAGAAACTCGATTTGTCTGTTAACTTGAGATTTCAATAGTCCAAAGTTGTCGAATACGCTTACATCCCTGAATCAACAATTCACTAGTTTATCATATCAAAATTTTGGAAATTTTAATCATTTGATCAATTACTTGTGCAGTGGTGATCTAAAAACCATTAAGGTAATATTCAAGTCAAATAAATGGTGTTAAACAGTGTGTACACATTGATCTGTAAAATTAATTAATTGATCAACGAATGGATGATACTTGTTTTATGACCTGAATTTAATCTAATATCCAAGCTGACCTATTTTTTTCATATAAGATTGGTTTCATCATTTCAGTAGCCATTAAACAATATTTTAATTTGAAACTACTCAATCTGTTTGAATCACATCACGGCTTTTTATACCTTTAATTATTGAAATTTTTTGGTTCATATGGATAGTGATATGTAATAAACTGACTTCTAGCTTTACATGTATCTTTGACTAACATCAATCAACAGTACATGCCAACAAGATAATCATATCGATATATTTTTCCTTCATTTACAATTAAAATCCATATTCGTTGCCCAAGCTAGCAATAGCTACCTGGATTCAGAAGCTTAGTGAATAACCCACTGACGTTCGTAATGAAAAGTACTGGGTTCTATTTTTAATGCGAACGTCAACTCTACTAAACATCCGTTGCTGGCTCCATAAACTGGTCGGACGAGAATAATGTGAATATGTCCTATTTGACTTTGTTTTCTTTCTGTTGACAAATCCCGTTAATAACAGCGTAGATATAAAAAAAAGTCGAACATACAAAGTATTTGAAGAACGTATATAGTTTAGACATTCGGTAATACGGGAGAAAAAACCAGAAATAAATCGAAATACATGTGAACTAGAGTGGTGGAAATAGCCAACTCAATTTTATTCAATATGATTCAACATTTGTGACCAGATTGAAAAAGCTAGCTAACGACAAGTTATCAATGGAATAAATAATAAACAAACATACTCTCATATGAAAACTTTGGAAAATTCCCATATTGTGAACAATATTGTTTTCAATTAGATCCTCATCAGGCTTTACTCTAATATACAGTAATATTTATATGCACATATGAAATTATTAAGCCAATCAAGGTAGTTTATGAGTCAATGATAACAGTGGAATAGATTAAATAAATAAACATAATAAGTGAGAAGTGTTATGACCCGACAAGAATAATGAATGGTAACTTTTGGAATCTAATGATGGACCAATACTAAACGTATATTTCTATTGTGTAATTATTAAGTAACTAAACTATGCATATTCATATTCCTCTTATTATGAGCTTTATTTTGACCCATAAACTATTATTATACGTTTTACCATTATTGAGTTATACCCAGTATATTAATTACTAGCTCCTGCATTCACAGTCACATCTAGCTAATTCTTGTACAAATGTTGTTTCATATTTTATTGGAACGTTGTGGTCTGTTTGATTGGTATATAAACTCAGTATGTTTGAAATATAATGATTCATATCGCAGGGGCTCGGATTGGCTTTCTGAACTTATCTGGCTGGGCTAGGCGGAAAGCAGGACCAATCAGGACTCTAGGCTGCTCGAACGTGCTTTACGCGTCCTTGGTCCGATCGATAAGTCACTGCCCTCTAATCAACGGTCACAAATTATAACAAAAAGTACGTATAATTCGCCTTTCCATAAAACTGCAAAGTGGCTAGTTCGAATCCTAGCTCACTTACATAAACTAGTCAACAGAAGCGTGAAAGACGTTTTTGATTTTATTTCCGATGTTGAACATATGAACTTAAACGGAAAACGGATTATATCTCTAGATGTTGCTTCCTTGTTCACATATGTATCATTAACCGAAACTATTGACTTTGTGTGCCAAGAACTACTTAAAAAACAGTTCAGCATTGGAATTCCCAAGGTTAGTCCCAAGGAATTACTTCTGAAATGTACAATTAATGTCCATGTCGTCTTTAATAACACATTATAGACACATTGACGGTATAGCGATGGGTTCACCTCTAGGTCCTATCCTTGATTTTTTTTCTTGCGAAACTAGAAAACGGACCTCTCAAAGAGGTTATCGACAAGCTTGACTTTTATTGTCGTTACGTTAATGATACTTTCATTATTGTTGATCAGAACATTGGAAAAGAAGAACTTTTAGAACTATTTAACAACAAACATCCAGCAATTAAATTTACGTGTGAAGAAGAACTAGATAATTAACTACGTCTCCTTGACGTTTTGTTAACCAGAAAAGAAAACGGTTCTATCAGTAGAAGTGTGTAGGTGGAAAGTTCTTCATCAAGTCAATACACACATTTCTTAAGCTTTATTCCCCTTCATTATAAGAGAAACCTAGTGAAATATCTTGCAAATAGAGCTAAGAAAATATGCTCTGCCGACACAATTGACAAGGAATTAGAGCTTAATCATAATATGTTGATTGAAATGGGATATTCACAAGGTTTCCTAAAGAAACACTTGTGTGTAACAAACAAGAAAATAGAGACATCAACGGCTAGTAAGAAACCTCTCTCCCTGAAGCTGAAATTCAATGAAGATGCAGCTGGTGATGTACTACGTGATAGACTGACTAGAGCGTTGAAGAGAATGTTTGATGCAGCCAACCTCTATCTATCGTACTCGACTCTATCTATGGTGATTTCTCAACTAAAGGATAAGTTGCCTCATTCTGCCACATTTATGTGTGTCTACGAATTCAGCTGCTCCTGTGGACTAAGCTGCATTGAGTGCACACACAGACAACTGAGTCAACGAGTTAGTGAACACTTCACATAGTGGTTACGAGAGGGTATCGTTAAAACAATGCGCAGCTCTGTGCCATCACACTTGGCCGATAGTGATCATGTAGTAGATAGAAATAGGTCATTGAAAGTGACTTGTAGTACTCTCGTCTCTTACACATAGCGGAAGCTATATGAATTAGAGCCAACAATCCAAATCTTTGTGATCATAAGAATTTTGTAACACCCTTATCCCTCCCTTGGCCTTTATAAATGATTCTATTTATTATCATTTTCCATACTCTTCGTTTCTTTTTCTTCACCCTCTCCTACCATTTTTTCCTCAAATATACGTTTCACGATTCAATTATCTGGAGACTTCTAATTATATAATCTTATACTTTTTATGAATGTTATTTCAGTGTCTATATGTTTCTAATCATTGACCTATTTCCCATTATGTAACAGTTTCAAACCTTTGTTATTTTTATCACAACTAGTACATCTATCACCACACTATCAATCTATACTTTTCACTTATTATGTTTATTTATTTAATCTATTCCATTGTTATCATTGACTCATAAACTACCTTGATTGTCTTAATAATTTCATATGTGCATATAAATATTACTGTATATTAGAGTAAAGCCTGATGAGGATCTAATTGAAAACAATATTGTTCGTTTATATATGTTGTTGTTCTAAATAATATAAAAACAGTTAACAAGTAAACCAATTAACAATGTCAAATACATATTTTTAATTGAGATCATGAACCGATTGGTGTCAGACCACCATTGAAAACCTGGAAGCACTGGCAAGCCATTTCGTCCTATTGTGGGACTCCTCAGCAGTGTACATCCACAATCCCTCTCGCAGGATTCAAACCCAGGGCCTTCAGTCTCGCGCGCAAACGCTTAACCTACTGGACCACTGAGCCGACATCAGGTGGTGTTAATGTCTAACCTCAACCAATCCACGAAATTGCGCGACCATCTTCCATTGTACTGAGGTAGATACCTGTCTCTACCCGACACGGATTAGTTCCACTGGTCACGGCTTTTCACTAGAACTACGAGAATTTTCTCACGAAGCTAATCACTATTGTGTGTTCACAATAACTCAATAAGAGATTAGATTATTTTGTTTATTAAAAATGTTAGGATAAATCACGTAGGCACCTAATAACAGAAAATCTGCTATAACTAAGATACAACTACCTCCTTCTGGTGAGTTTCGAATAAGATTAAATGTGCGTCTATTTGTTTAGCTTCTAGCTATTATTCAACTTTGATACAGTCATATCGTTCAGTTTATAAACAGCTTTTAACGAATAAATAAATAAGAGTTAATTTTCTTATTACATTTTAGAAATCAGAAATAGGTCAAGTAAGAATGCTGTTGACAAGTGCTATATTTTTACATGCACGTGAGGGTTTCCCACTTCATTGTATTAATTTAACGGCTTGGTGTCTTTGGTAAGTTTTCTTATTCCGTGTCAATAGTGCTTTAAAATTTCCTCAAAATTATCAGTTACATCTTAGATTCTATGGTAGTGTTCTGATTGTATGTGTTTATGTATGCCCTAACTATCTCCTACTTTGACAGGCAATGTTAATTAGTGTACAAGAGTAAGTCGAAAAAAAGTCGTCCAAACTAAAATATAGCGTCAGTTAATCAAGTTATTGATTATTAGTCTGAGCTTTGTTGGTGCATGCCGACTACTTAGCTAAGATTGGGCGTTTGCTGAATAGCCTCGATCACTTGTTGGAGGTATCGCGTGACGTTACTCAGAAGTGGTCACAGTGAACCAGATGCACTAACTCTTTTTCTAATCCTAGATCTTGACTTTTACCTTTCGATTCTGTCTCTTTAAAATACTTTTTCAGTGATTAGTTTTCTTCATTATCATGGATACCACAGTAAATTTAAATCCGTTACCGTTTATCTTGATAATTTCTTCTCATCATGCCACAATATCATAAAAACTCAGGCTACCGCATATTTTTACCGGTTTGTACGTTGATTACAACTGAGTCACTGACTGTTGCTAAGACAATATACTGATTGTTGTCTGATCGTTAGAAAGTAATGAGTTCCCCAACAGCTAACTTAAATCTCACTCCACTCTCCTCAGTTTAAGCGACGATACTAGCCCATATATACACACATAGCGGTCCAAATCTACACTGAATACCATTATTATTAATAATGATAATGTTACTACTTTTTATTTTCTTTCTACTAACACTGGACTGTATGTATCGAACAATTTATAGCCTATACATAATTCTCATCCATTCTAAATGTACCAACAGGACGCTAGAAAGATTAGCGAAGCTCCTTGTGTTGTTGTCCATAATTCAAACTTGAAAACAAATCAATATGCTTATATAAAGCACAGTAAATACTAAGTCTATATATACATTTAGAGCACAAAACTTTTTAATAAGTTAGTGATTAATTTAATGAAATTGATAAATGATGAGATACGGGGACAATTAGTGAGTTGAAAACTGACAATTAGGACAGTATGAAAAATACCATAAATCAGTTGTTAAAAATATGTAAACTGAAACTGAAAATGGCTTTCGAAATTCCTCATTTTTAATTATTCGCCCAATCTTAATAGGTGATATGTTTATAGGTTGTATTCGTCACAAATTGATTTCAGTTAGGTTACCATTGAAAATCAGTGATGACTGGATAGCTGTTTCATTTTAGTATTGAACCTAACAATGATTATTCATAATCATGCCGGGAATCGAATATCAGAGCATTCAGGTCTTGCAACAAATGTTTAACCATTAAAACCACACTGGATCAGTCAGCGTTCAATGGTTTACATTTCTGATTTCAACCAGTTCACAATATAACTTAATGATAACACATTTGATTAATAAAAGCTTTTTTCTGTTCTCATTTTCACTTTTTACTCAATTTGTAGTTTAACTACGAATTTAGATATTGCTGTACAAGAAATTTTACTTCCAGCAATACGACCATGTTTAAGTTGCGCTGATAGTTCAGTTCGTCGAGCAGTAGCTAATCTACTTCATGGATTAATTGAAATTCTACGATTTATCAGTGGATCGTATAGTAATAATGATATCTCACATACGAGTACAACAACGTCAACATTCACAACACATAATGATATTTGCAAATCAAATTTATTAGGATTAATATGGCCATTTATTAGTCAAGTAACTAGAGATGATTTAACTGGTCAACGTAAACGTATTACACCGGATCAAGCTGATTGGAGTGTGTTATGTTGTTCACTTGGTCCATTGTACAGTTTCATCATGTTAATATGTGTACCATTTCTAAATTCGACTTTGTCTTCTTCCTCTGCTACTATTGTTGCTGGTAGTGGTGATCCTTCTGGAGGCTCTAAAATAGAAAATATTCCTTCGTCTTCTACAACAACAATGGATACAACTTCAGCTTCAACAACAGATACATTAACAAACAACACATTTAATGAATATGCTAATTATCGTATTATGGTAAGGAGTTTACATGTAATTTGTTATTTGTATGTATTACATAACTAATAACGTTGAGCATCTCTTTTTCCACAATACTGAATAGAAACTATATTGATTATGTACAACTGATTCATTTACTTCGGGTTTTTTAAACAACTCTGAAAAAACGATAATTAGAGTCGGTTACATCATACATTTGATTTAGGTATGTTTAACAATCCAACACCCGGAATCATTAATATGCTTTAGCATACTGAATAACACTTGACTATCGCTACTAATACAAATTATACTTTTTTAAAACGGAAATCAGCAATCTTTTCAAAGTTCTTGTTTTGATATGAGAAGAATAAAGTATAATTTTCTAAGGATACAAGACAGCTCGGAGAACATAACAATAGTGACGGATACAAAAAACGAACTCACCATGCCGATATCAGATGATCAGTTTAATCGAATTCTGGAGCCTATACAGGCTCACAGCTAGGCACTCAAATTCGATTAATTAAAGCCTTGACTCAACATTTCACTATCCAGTATTCTAATTCACGTTCAATGTCATATAGTCTTATTGATTCAGTTGCCAACGATATCCCAAATCACTCACTACTATCAAGTAAGTATTCCCTAGACATTAAAATTTGCTCTTTCAAAATAAGAATAAGAATTAAGAGCGAACAATATATATTTCAATATTTATCTTTATCTTTTCAAAAGGCATTTGATTTACTTAGTTTACAATATGACTTGGTTGTCGGTCGAACGAATTCCAATGAGCAACTTAATTCTAATGCACAAAATACAGGCATAGATTATACAATGGATCGATTGATAATTTCACAACGTCGATTTTGGAATACATTAGTTAATAATCTTCTAGATTTAACTAATCGTCTTCTTCCGATATGTGGTGAAAATTTTCAACAAAATAGTAAGTTACATAATGATAACAATACTCGCTTTAGTCAATACCATATGTAATTTGATTACAATAATGTTCTCAGAAAAAAAATATATATATATACAGCAATGTCATAAAATCCCCATCTTTTAAGAATTCAACTTGTGAAGTTCAAAAAATATGTAGAGAAAGTTTTTAAACAGTGACTAGCTAACACTCATATAGATCCGTAAATCTTTTCGACAAGTCTTGCTCTTTTCATCTCTGAACTTGTTTGATGTATGAATGCTATGTTAATCGGCCCTCATTTTTTAAAGAGAGAAAAGCAAAGAGAAAAATGTACCAGCCATTTTGACGGTTCTTCTTGAATTTCTCTGTAGTTAAATTCACAATAGCGTTTGTAATCACTTTTTTTTAAGGCGCGTGGTTATATATGGTTATCATACTTATTGAGTCAAATAAAACAAACAATGAATGTTTGTTTGAAAAACTGATCCCCCAAAAGTGTGAGCAAGCCATCGATATACGTTAGAATGAAAAATATAAAAACAGTTCATAAATATTGTTAAATTGGAAGTTACTCTTATGTCATATGTTGCCATCATCATATCGGGAACTGAGTGAAAAAAAGAAGTGACAGGCACCTGTTTTGTTCCTATTTCGAGCCAAAGTTCATGTGCAATAAAAACCTTAAAAAAGTTGTACTCTTGATTATCGTTACAAGAAAGAACTAACACTTATTCATAAAACTATATAATCTAAGGTCTTCTTGGAGATTATAACTTTTAAAAATTCCTTTTTTAGTAAATAGGTCAGTGTTTAATCACCGATTTGTGATTCATTAGATCATTATTTTTAACTCCAAACGACTCGTGATAGTATTTCCCAATCATCTAATACCATCTGAAATATATTATTTACTCGCAATATGGATCGCAGCTTCTCATGTTTGTTAAGCAAATTACTTGAAGTAAAATTAGGGGACTTATCTCGTGTTTTGCATAACTAATATTAAGTTGTTCGGTGATCAGAGGTAGTTTACTGGAAAACCTAGATCAGCAAACTATACCTGAAATCCCGATGAAACTTTGTCTCCCCACAGGATTTAGACACATACCATCCAACTTTAGTGCCTTAGACATTACCACTGAACTATTCGGGTCGCAAATGACCATAGTCATATTTAAACTGGGTTTTTTTTAATGTGTAATATGCATGCTGTTATTTTTATTATATCTGTTTTTAGATATATTACCATGGCTTTTTAATTTAGCTGAAATGAATAATTCTTTGCCAAGTTTAGAAATACGTGTTGAATTAGCTAATCATTTGTTCACAGTTCTTTCGACAGCTGCATATTGTATCCTTTTTGTATTGTTATCAATTAGACAATTATTAACAATGTATTAATCTGATTAATTTTCTTTCGTTGAATATGAGAATTTTCTCTAGTAGCTGTTTCCTCATCGTATTTAAATAAGATATACATTTATTTTAAATATTTCATAGTAGTGAATAGGCCAAACCAAAACATGGCACAAGTCCATGAAGTCACTGACAAGTGGACTGAGTCATGTTGGTAGGTGTAGACTACCTGGTTGGGGACCACGAGATGATAGCAACCGATGGTTAGAGACCTCAAATGACATGACTCAAAATGGTTTGCAATGGCACAGGTACATCCACTCTTTGTGTTCTCCCGAATTCTAATCTTCTGAATTCTTCATGTCCCTTTACTTGTTCTCTTTCCAAATTTATTTCACTGGATTATACTCCTTGAATAACATCTTCAAACCCTAATTTTTCTGATTACAGCTTATAATTTTACTACATATAGCACTACGGGATTTGAATCGACCACTGCATCTCTGTGCTAATGTGGTGTGGCAACTCGAACTGATGTACGTACATACGTACGAAGTTCTACGTTGTTACTGACTGACTGATAGTAGTGAATAAGTTTCATCATGTACTATTTTCCATGTTTTTAAAAAAAAATATCGCAAGATTGAACATTTGAAACGTGGCAATTTCAAACCCTTTTCGTCAGTGAATGTGAAAAACTGTACAAGAACACACTATACATCACTAAATTGAATGTCAACTATTTGAAAACAAATAAATATCCAGTAAGCATCAAATATCATGCTTCTCATCTTAGAACCTCGTCCATATATCACCATATTTAAGTTAATAAATAGTTGACTCTGTCATTAAAGTAAATTTATAATCTATCATAATATTTGTTGAAGATTAAAAACTATCTATCTTGGATCGTGGATGCGCACTGCTGAGGAGTTCCACAATAGGACGAAATGACTGTCCAATGCTTTCAGGTTTTCCATGGTGGTCTAGCTTCAATTGACTCATGATCTCAACTATTTAAATGTAAAATTCTTTGAAAACAGAATCATCATCTTAAAAATCTGCACTAGAATATTAAAACATCATGTAATTAATATTGTTCACAGAAAGAACTGAAAAACTCAACAGATAAAAGACAATCCTACTTACATCATTTAAAATATAAATTGCATCAGGTTAAGGAAATGTCTACATATTCACCTCTACTTCCCTAAACTAACAGCTTTACAACAATGTTTTTGTCATACTAATGCTTATGTAGACAACTTTAAATGTAAATTTTGCTGACAAGTTATCTAATATTAAATCGAGATATATTAGTATTGCCTAATATTCAGATGTAGTTTATCACTTAATATAAAGAGTTAAATGCAATGAAATGGTCAGAAAGATTACTGTAGTAAAACTTGAACCTATGCATATATTTGCCTTGTCCTACATTGTAGCTGACTGACTAAGTCAGTGGAAATATATAATGACTCATATGAGTAGTAAATACTCTCGAATGAATCAATGACAATCATTTTTACTACTATTAGATTAGATCACTCTACCGACAGCCTATATATATCAGATATTCAATTCATGACCAGTAATAGAGAACCAGAGTATATAGTCTAGATAATACTCTATTCAACACAATTACAAAGTATTCTACACTCAATGAGTTCATGAAAGAAAATCACAAATTAAATGGCCAGTAATCTATATCTGTCAGTTCACGTTCAATAGTAGCTGACCACAACTTACGTTCATTAGCCATACATGAAATATGATCACGGTTCATTTCGTATTTTTAATAATTTGTTTAATCTTTTTTGAGTTATAACCTTAATCCAATTAAATTATCTTGCAACATTATAAACACAATTGTTTAACTTGAATTAAGCTGTACAAAATGAAAAAAGTTTACTTCAGTGGTTAGTTCCAGGTTTAGATCGTGTACGTTTAGATTTAATTGAAAGTGGAGATAATCGTCGTGTTCGTGAAGTAGAACAATTCCTATCTGATTTATACTCGAATCTTCGATTAAATGATCAAGGACGTTCTTCGTAAGTTATTCCTACCAAATATTATTTATCTGCCTTCAATCAATTGTAGATGACCTCCTCCTAGCAAGTATTAATTGAATGGTTAAGACATGGATTTCCCATGCCCAACCACCACCTACTTTGATACGTGATGCTTGCTGATGCAGAAATTATTTGGAAGCTAGAGATAGGCAAACTAATACATGTCATCAATCTATGACAGTTATTGACTGTTAGATTGAGGCGTTCAGTTGAGTTTAGACTACCTAGTCGGAGTATGCGATATTATTTTAGCCAATGATTGGAGACGTTGGATGAAATTGCTTAAAATCGGTCACATTGTTTTAGATACATTCACTCTTTTTTACCGTTTAAGTGCTTGGAGCCCCTTATAGAGTTACTGCCAGTCTCAGGTATGTATAAAAGAAGAGAGTTAGGCATCCCATAGAAAGGAATCTTGCTAAAAAAAATTCTAACCAGGAAATTGCCGAGTTTCGAAATTATCTTCTATTTTCTTATTCCACGAAATTATCCTTCCCAAATAGTATTGTCTATACCTAATCTTTCCTACTTCCACTGATACTGTTACTATTGCTACTATGACATTTATCTTGATCACTTCATCTCACAGTGTTGATGTGGTGGAACAACTTGAAGTGATGCACAAATGTTCTGATTTCTGCGTTGCTTATAACTTACAGGCTGATTTACATGAAACCAATGCTCGTCCTAAGGATTCTTTTCAACTGCCTAACATCGAGTAATAAACTACATATGTTACAGAAAGAGTAAACTGACAATTACAATGAGACTACTTTGCATACATTATATAGAAAAGTGTTCATTTCTGTACTAAACATGGATAATGAAAGTTATTCTTTTTTTAGAAATCAATTAACTTTTGCTATTGGCTACTGATTAGAATCGATAATCCATGTTTCTGCTTTTATCAAACATGTTTTCTAGACATGTTTACCTCTTGATCAATAGATATTTCCATTGATATTGGATCTAAATGAACAGTATTAATTATGAGAGTTATATTGTTTAATTATATACACTAATATATTCACTGTGTATATTAGGACTTCTCAGGTATCATCGTAATACATGCGCACTGGTTTCTACATTAATGTTATCACTTTGGTCAGCTATTAAATGATAAGTTTTTAAATAATTTGCAATTATAACACATGCTCAAATTAAAAAAAAAAAAGAATCTCACTGATCTCCCATGTAAACCCTCATTTGAGTATTTTAGTAGTCAAAAATGAAAATAATTCGCTTATTTTCTTAAAATAAAACATTGAATTCTAACCCATATAAATTATCTTGTCAGTTTTAAAAGGATAAATTTATATTCCACCCATATAAGATCTTTAACCTTGCGTTAAATATGATTGTTTTTCTTAGTCATATTCAGAGAACTATGATACATGGCATTTTCGTATTCGATATACTCTAAAAATCATTCCTGACCGAAATGAGAATTAGCAATTTAGTGGCTTAGAAAATTACATCACGAACTGATTTTAGTATAGACAACCATTTGAAACTTGGGAGCATTAAATAAGTGCTTCGTTTAATTATGGAACACCGTAGCAGTACACATCAACGAATCCATCAGGGATCGAACCTAGGACCATATGGCCTCTCAGCAAGCGCTGAATCAGCATCCAGTGGTTTGCTTGTTTGATCCCATCGAGTGTATGATATCACGCAACAATCTTTCATTGTCATCGATGGGTAACTGCCTCACTCAATGTGGCTGAACTCGGCTGATCACGGTTAAACTCTTGCTGCGAGGCCTGAAGGTCGTAGGTGTGGAGTGTTAGTAACGTAAAACAGCTTCTTGGTTTTCAATTGGCTGTCTAATTAAGGTCATTCCTTGATGTAAACTATGAAAGTCAATAATCACCACAAACGCTCTATAATAGTAGTTCTTCCTTTTTCATCAGAAACTTCAGTCAACGTAAAAGTAGGATGGAATAATGTGTCATTTTTAATTTCGACTATATGTAACCTTGATTTTACAGTACGCATCTTCTTAAATCCTTGTTTTCCTTTTCAGCAATTCGAATTCATCTGCCGGTATACGTACTAGTGTATCCAACCGTTGGACTAAACTAACTTCATTCAATAATTCCAATAATCATACTGTGAGTAGTACTAGTCACAGTACTGACAGTCATAGTACTACTACGAACACTAATACTACCAATACTTTTAATACTTCTAACAATGGAATAAGTGTTCCTCCAGCATTCAACACTACTTTAGATAATAGTCATAACTCACCACCAGAAATTGAAATGAAAAAATCTCAATCTCGAACAAAAAATTCACGTTTCAATTTTCGTCGACATTAGTGATATTAATCATAATAATAATGATCACAATCTACACATGATACACAGTTTGTTTGTTTTTCTTTCCTTCTTTTATTTCCTTTCAATTAATGGGGTAACATTCCAAGATTCTGTAATTTATGTGATTATCAGAGAAATAAAACATACCTCATTTTTGAACCTACTTTTATGTTTTGGAACAATGTTATTTTCTTATGATCTGTACTCATTACTATTATTTATTATTATTATGTATTTTTATTTATATTCATGATTGACTTGTAATTTATCTTCTTTGTAAACATGAACATCAAGTATTTTACAAATGATACAACATAATTCTAAGTGAGTGTTTTCATTGATATATATCTGTCTTGAACAATATCGACAAATATGATAATAATCGGTGGTTGGCTTTCTTGATTTTTTGGATCATCTATTCATCGTAAAACCATGCTTCAATATAAGATTGTTATTACTGTAACTGATATGGGTATTATTGAATTTATTATTGTAATTTATATATATATATATATATCCCTAAAACCAATATGCCTTAACATATCAGCTAGGCTGTGTTTTGTTTGTTTATTTTACGGGTGATATTTTAAATGTTTTTCTTTTGTTTTTATCTCGAATGTTAATCTCCCCCTTTTTTTCTCTTACTTATTTACTGATTAATGTTTCTCGTTGAAAGTTGAGTTTTGTAAATTTCATGTTTTGTCCTGTTTTTTTTTTTAAAGAACCGTTTTCATATGTTTATAATTGAATAAAAAAAGAGAACGATCAAACCTCTTAGTGATTATTTTATGTTTATTTTACGATTCTTATAAAAATCAAAATAGCAACTCTACAATTTTGTTTTTGTACACAATCATAACAAATTCACTTTTTCTATTATTATTATTATTATTCTTGAACACTTTTAAAATGTTACTGTATAAAATTGATGTTTATATGTAATGTATGTACGAATGCTTAATTGTTTTTGGTTTTTACCCTATTCGAATTCATTTGATATTTCTTTGTATAGATGGAGGGGGAGTTTGTGGTGATTGTTGAATTGTTATAGATTATAACACAGATTGAATTTATTTAAGCAATCATTGAAAACTAGGAAATACTGGAAATTTGTTTTGTCCTGTTACAAGACTCAATAGTGGTCATCCATAACCCACCGGCGATGGGACCTATTCTAGGTCGAAATAACTGCAGATTGTTTCTCTTTTTTTTAAATTGTCTAAGGCCAGTTCATAATGTAAACTATAAAAATTCAGTGGGTTTGTAGGTATCAAGATTGTATTTTGTAGATTCAAGTAAATTAATCATTGGGTTAATTTAGTTCGGTTTCTTATTTACTCTAAAGAAGTAGCCCACACCAAGTCACGAAACGTCAGAAATACAATTTTTCTACTCATTAGGATATAACAAAAAATATATTTATTGCATAACAGCATTTCGAAGTATGTATTAAAAACACTTGTTATATAATTCAGATTGTTGTCTTTCGACTCATTGATTATTGTAATATCTCCAACCGTTCAAATTTAACAGTCAATCAATTATAAATTAATTGTTCAGTTTGGTATTAAAAATGTCTTCAGTTGTGTACATATGACAGAATGCAACTATTTTTCAGTTCTTGACACACAGTTCAGTCCCGAAATTCGAACGAAGCAATTGTGCAACGAACTTTAGAATATGACAAAATAATAAAATTGGATAATCTTATTCTGCATCAGTAAGTCTCAACATACATAAGGGAGAAAGTAAAATCCTAAAACTCCCACATCTTGACAATATTACCGATGAACATGGAGGATCAGATGCAGACGCAAAGGCAGGGATTGGCAAAGCACGGGTCGCATTTCTACAACTGAAGTACATATGCAACTCAAAACAACTGTCAACCAACATCAAAGTCAGAATCTTCAATATGAACGTCAAAACAATTCTGCTGCACGGGGCTGAAACTTGGAAAAATACCACAACCATCATCAAACTGGTACAAGTTTTTATAAACAGTTTTCTATACAACATATTCAATATCTGTTGACCGGATACCATAAGCAACAACCTACTATGGGAGAGAATAAACTAGGTTCTAGATGAGGAGGAAATTAGGAAAGGATGTTGGCAGTGGATGGGACATAGATTCCCAAAATCATGAAACTGCATCACGAGGCAAGCGCTAACTTGGAGTCGTGACGGGAAACGGAAAGGTAGGCCGAAGAATACAACTTGTCGGGAATCGGAAGCAGACATCAAAAGAATGAATTGCAAATGGGAACTGGGAAGGATTGCCGGGGGAAAAGGTGAGTGGAGAACGCTGTTGGGCGGCCTCTGTTCCTCCAGGAGGGGTAATATGCGTAAGTAAATGCCTATTTTCTACTCACGCGTTAAGTAATTAAACCGTAAGCAACATAGAACTTGGTACATACGTGTATCGTGTAGTGGATTGTCCTCTTGAAAATGCCTAAGGCTTCATATACTACTCGTTCTGATGATTGTTTCTAGATAACTCCTAACAGTGTATAAATTTCAGAAGATAATACGAGGCGTTAACTAGTTTATTATTGAACAGCGCATATCAGTAAGTCACAACCACACATCGAATTCTAGCAGAAATGCGAATGCGAGTAAATGCCAGTCAAGAAAATAGGCGTATCAAGAGTCGAATGAATTGATAAGATTCAAGCACACAGGAAAGGGAATGACCACACATTCACCATTCATCAGATTTTTAACACAGGCATACTTATCGGCGTCTGACAATGAGTTTTTCTTGACTTAAAAGCATCATTTGACTCCGTAGACCGAGTGGTTCCGTGGCAGTGTCTGTCATCGAAAGGCGTACCTCAGAAGTACATAAACCTTGTGAAGGCTCTTTATTCGACTACTAGTGGAGTCAGAGCTTATGGCGAACTGTCATCTGATTTCGCAACCTCAAGTGGTGTCCGGCAAGGCTGTTCACTATCACAATTTTTGTTCAACTTCATCATAGACCTGCAGCTGGGAATAACGTCCTCGTTGATGGAATTTTCGGGCATCGATCTCCTTCCAGGAGATCCACTTATCGACTTAGAATACACAGATGACATAGTCCTGTTTGGTAAAGACGCTGATAAAATGCAGTGTTTTGGTAGCACTGAGCAACAATGCCAGGATGTTTGGGATGGGTTCCTCCCCTCCTAAAGCGAATCGCTGCTTCAGTCGAACACGTCGACACTCCACCTATCTTGGAAGTCTGATTAACCCTGATGGGTTGGTGTCTGACGAAAACTCATCAGTGATTAAGAAAGCTCGTTTGGCTTTTGCCAACTTACGTCACCTATGGCGAAGGTGAGATATCCGTCAATCAATAAAAGGACGAGTATACTGTGCAGCAGTTCGTTGTTATACTTTACGGCTGCGAAACGTGGCTATTAAGAGTAGAGGTTACTCGTAAGTTACTAGCACTTGATCACAGATGTCTTAGAAATATTGTTCGCATCCGTTGGGATCACGAGATAAGTAATAGTGAGGTTAAACGCAGGGTATTAGGGAATGATGGCAACCACATAAACGAAGAGTAAGGAAGAGAGCAAGGTGTCCTGAATGACTCCGATCCTTACTTGACACTCGTCTGTCAGCTGCCCCAATGCACGACTTTGTAGTGTAGTGCATCGTATCAATTCCGTATGATAATGACGATCCTATCAGGCACATCAGTGTCGAAGAAGTTTCTATAATGTTCTCCTATCCACACTGTCGAATGCTTCCTCATAATCAAAGAAGTTAATGTGTGGTGACGAGCTCCACTCAACTGATTTGTTCAACGATCATCAGTAGTGTCGCGATTAGGTCTGTGCACGACCGATCCTTACCAAATCCAGCCTGTTGGTTTCGAAGTTGGGTGTCTACTAAATCTTTCTCTCGGTTCAGCAACATTCTGTTGAAAACCTTTCCTGGTACTGATAGTAGCGTGATTCCTCTGTAGTTTTCACATTCGCTCAGATCTCCTTTCCTTAGTAATTTGATTAGATATCCTTTCCATTCTGTTGGCACTTGTTCCTCCTCCCAAATCTTCCCCAATAGAACGTGGGACATGTTTGTAGCTGAGTTTGTGTCTGACTTGAGTGCTTCAGCTGGTATATTATCAGGTCCTACTGCTTTAATACTCTTGATTTGTCTGATGGACATGTTGATACGCTCGATCGTTGGTGGAGTGACATCTATAGAAAAATCTTTGCGTGCTGCTTCGATGTCCGGTGGATTCAATGGAGCCGGCCTATTCAAGATCATCAGTGTTCTTACCCACCTGTTTATGTCCCCTAATCTATCATTGTTGGTTGCATAACATTGAAAAACATTCATTGTGATTCCCTCCTTCTTTGTTTTGAAGGACGCTTTCATGATCTTGAGTCCATGAGATTCTCATCCTATAAGTGCTTTACTTGCTTCCTTGGACAGCATCAGAGCAACTCCCTGAGCGCGTGAATCATTTTCTTCTTCGTGACTAGAGTACAGCAGCACCTCTTCCAAATCTATTCTTTTCTGTCCAGCTAGGGTTTAGTGGGTTTCACTGATTCCAAGCACTGTCAAGTTTACCTCCTCAGTTCCGAAGATATTGACCGGTCCTCCCGGTCTCCCACATTGTCCGAACATTTTACGTACCTATAAAAATTGTTGTTCTGGTTGTTAGGAGCATAGACCTCATGACTTCCGAAGAATCTCGGCTTTCATCATGAGGGGTCATAATTCTTCCTTCAACGCAGAGGGCAGAGTTTAAATGGTTTAACTAGCTTAATCCGGTTAGCGTTTTTTAGCAAGGTTTTTTTCTACGGGATGGGGTCGGTAACTCCATCCCCAACCCTCCTCCTTTACCAAAGCTTGAGACCGGCAGTAACTCTAGAAGAGCTAAAGGCGAACTTTAAATACGTAGTTGTGTACGAATTATCATTCAAAGCAGTCTACGCTGAGTGTTAACTCTTATTATTAAGACATCATTAAATACAAACAACTCAGTCCATATACACTAGTGGGTAAGAGTTTATGACATTCTAAAGAATAAGTAGATTATCATTTGTAAACCATGGAACCAAGAAACAAAAAAGCAGCAGTCCAAGTATACATTTGGTAAAGAGATGTTTTATTGAAAACGATAATTAGACAAAAGCATTCACAAATAAATTGTAATATCAAGTAAATAATTAGTGTAAAAAGGTGGTATCGAAGTTATTTTGAATATGAACGGAAGAAAATCTCCAGTTTATTAAGCTACACATTTGAAAAATTCATCCTAAGCAATGAGTATGCTGAGAAAACAAAACAAGAAATTACTTGTCAGTATTATGATAAAGAAAACTAAAATAGTAAGTCAACAGAAAAATTCAACTTCTCGCAAATTTCCTAAATATCATTTATTAGTTACACTGTTTTACAGTTTCAATAGATTAAAACTAATTTTAGTGTTAGTTGTATTCATTACTATGATGTGAATATTGAAAATTTTATCTTGAGATTTATTGATTCTATTCATACTACATTATCTTTGTATAACCATAGCTAACTATCCTTCAATGCGTTCACAATGTGAAATTCCCTATTGTCCAAACTAATAAACATTAAAGTAACATTCCTATCTATACAATACACAAAGATAGTGCAAATTTAGACTAAAATCAAACCATATTATATCTACAACATTCTCAATAAAAAAAAGTAAAGATAAGTAGAATGTTATGCAAGAAAACTGAGTGGTGTAATGACCGGGACTGGTTCTCATTAAAACTTCCATTGTATGTCTATTTTAATAACTTAATAATTATCTACCAAGAGTGTAAGTAATCGAAAAGTCAGTCGTAAATTCCCTCGGATGTTTGCACAAGGTGGGACCACTAAGTGACTTATCTTGAGGTCAGACCTACTACGCAAAATTTGAAAATTGCTATGAACATTTATAGAATGAGGCGATTAGGATATCTTTACAAATGAAACTTGGAAGCTCAAAGAATTAATATTTGTAGATAAAAAATAATCACACAAACTACTTGATATGATGGAAAGAAAAGTCAATTTTCGATTGAATTACTCATAATGAGTTTTATTCAACAGTACATCCGTTTTGATTAAACGTGAGGATCATTCAGTGTAGTGCCCCCAAATGCCCTGGTATGGCCGGGAGTGGGTGGGCCAGCCTTCCCTCTCGAAATGCTCTCACACGGCCACGCGTATATAGCCTCTGACTGGGAAGTCCTACTCACTGCCTTCTCGTGGCATTACTGTTGTTTACGAAAATGAGAGGACGAAAAGCGAATGTCCGGCGCTTTAACCGGATTCCAAACCAATGGTGCACATGGGCTCCAGTATCCTGCGGGAACAAATGGCGTATGAACCAATCGTCGGTCACCGGCTATCATGGGACTGCATCTCCTCACGGTGCTCCACTGCCTTGTGAGTCAGGCCTTTAGGTCAAAGGCTAGGGGTGTGGCCCCCTAAGAAAACCACCCGCTTCGGTTTGGGCACCCGGACAGTATTACAGCCCTCACACAAATCGAATGGTTTATGTGACGCATATCTAGTTGGTGCCTCCTTGTAAATAGCTGTCTTCGCAAGATACTCAACATCCATTGGCCGGATACCATCAGCAACAGCCTTCTGTGGGAGAGAACAAACCAACTTCCAGCTGAAGAAGAAATTAAGAAAAGACGATGGAAATGGATAGGACATACATTACGCAAATCGTCAAACTGCATCACGAGGCAAGCCCTAACTTGGAATCCTGAGGGGAAGCGAAAAAGAGGAAGGCCAAAGAACACATTGCGTCGGATAATAGAAGCAGATATGAAAACGATGAATTACAACTGGACGGAGCTAGAAAGGATTGCCCAGGACAGGGTTGGATGGAGAACGCTGGTGAGCGGCCTATGCTCCTTCACGAGGAGTAACAGGCGTAAGTAAGTAAGTAAGTAAGCCTCCTTGTACCGATGTTTATGTGTTTAAATAATAATAATAATAATAATTCAGTGTAGTAATTGATTTGTTTTCCCAGTATGGTATTTTCTTCTGTATAATATACGATATTCTTGTATTCCATTGACATGAACTATGCTCAGTATGTGATTTGTTATATATGTGATTACATTTTAATTATTAATCGAAATGGGTGTACAATCAATATATAAATGAGTGTATTTTCTACTAGGGTCTTCATAATGTTTTGGGGTAAATAAATCATCACTTATACCAGTCTTTGTGTTCTTACTTTCGCGTCGTGGGAATTGCAGAGGACCCTTGTTACGAGTATAAGTGTTAAGTGTTTCAGACATAAGAATCAGCGACGACCAGATACAAAAAAGTAGCATTAAAAGAGCCAAGATAATAAGCATTCAAACGACAAAATTATAAATTTCGATAGAACAATGAGAAGACGGAGTTGATCTGAAAAATGTGATGTATTAGGGTTATACATTTCGAACAATCTGGACAAATTATAACACTACTGAAATTTTATCCAGAGGAATAATGGTCAACCTCAAACGTTTAAACAAATCTTATTTCCATCCACGAAACTCGATGGTATCGTAAAAATGCATGAATAATTCTGAGAAACACTTTAACGTACGAACATGAAACAAAACAGAACTGTACTTTTCACCATGAAAGAGGGTTAGAAATGATAAATAATCCGAGTTTCACAAATATTTAACTCATTACCAATATTTCAAACTGCTAAGAAAATTTAACTAACCTAATAAGTGCGTAGTTTTGGAGGGACAGTTGGACAGCTCTTAGAATCCAAGGTGATATCAATTACAGGACGATATTCCAATTTTACAGCACCCGTTTTAACATCCTGATAAGACAGAGTATGTTTTCGCCAATGTTCTTCAAATGGCTTAGGCTTTTGTCCATCAATAGGTTGAGAGTAGTCGAATTCATCTAACCGATTAGGAAAGTCTTCACGTGCATGAGCACCACGCGATTCTCTACGGGCTTCAGCTCCAACAATAGTCTAAAATTACATAAAGTTAAAAGCACATGAGACTTTGTATGTTTCTCACGGTAAATGTCCTCTTCATATAACTGGAAATGTGGTAACAATTATTGGTCGCTTTTTAAAGATATTTAATAAATACAATAGTGTACTTTTGAACCATATAATTCATCATGCAGCTAGTAAAAGAAATAATCTATAAATGGTCAGTATTAAGGAAAACGTACTTTCTACAAGAATTCTAATAAACACTGAATGAAAATAACATAGTACTGAATATTTAATGTGAGCACCATTTACGACTAATAAAGATGACAACATCCATCAACTTAAACAATAAAGTTCGGGAAATATACTCATCCCAACTATATAAACATTAAATACTGTTATGTGATTTAAACTAAAATAGTGACTTCATATTAATGATCACGGAGTTGAAAGTTTCTTTCTAGTAATTTGATTCATATCACCTCTTGATTTAAACATTTCAACTAGATCACTTATCAGTTTGATCAACTCCTGATTGTAGCTGCTAACTTAATATGATGCTAAGGCTTGCCTCTCATAATGACCCCATCGAGTTGTATTGGCTGGAAAAATGTTCTTTCAGCTTCTACCATCCCAAACCGGTCGGTTGGGAAACGGTAAGACTGATGGTATTAAGCTCATAGTCTGGGGGCGGAGGCGTACTCCTGACTGTATTGAATCGTGATGGTGGGGAGCTGTTTCCTTTAGGCAACCAGGATCTACAGAGATACTGCCTCATTACAACATAAGGAAGGGGTTTAAAAGGTCGGTATCACATCTTACCTCATGGAACTCCATGGTATGACCTTTTGAAACTTGGAGCCAGCACACTACAAACTTCTTACAGAAAAACCTTATGTGACCGACCTCAAACAGCTGTCTCTTGAGCTCTACAGTCACGCTTCCAGGTTAATGTGACTACTACTAACCCAGTTTCCTTTACAGACCCCTCAAAAAGAAATATCCTTCCGTGATGTAGGCAACCGGCTAGTGACAACCTTCCTCATACTTTTAACAGAACTAGAGATTGATTAACAGCAGGCACATAGACTTCGCATTGACTGACTGACTGTGGCAGTACTAAAATAACTGTAAGGTGCTGTAATTCTTCACCAAGTAAGTAATTTTTCATGCTTACAATAAAATTACTCAGATTTTATATCCTTGGGGTGCAATGAAATATAAGGGACTGGAAACGTAATAAAAACAAGTGGTCTGTTTGAGCTGATACATACAATTAACTCGCTATTGAAGTAGCACTTAATTTAATCATATTAAGAACATAATAAGAGCTTTCTGTAGTACCGAGTAAATATGAAAAGTCTAGTGCATGAATATACCATTACCTTCATCAAATAACAGAAGCAAACTCAATTTGGAGTGCTGTGAAACTGAATTGAATGTAGTGTTTTTGTTATATAGGACTATAGTTTATGGACTTAATGATCCGAAGGTTGTATTCATGACAGATTAATTGTACTCGGGAAGCCGACCGTTGTTGCTACCTTGACGTGGTGGTCGGGCTTGCCTATCGTGATGAAGCAACCGAGCTATACTGGCTGGAACAACCGTTCCTCAAGATCCTACCATGTCAGACAGGTCGGTTGAAGAGCGGTAAGACTAAAAGCAACAAACCCAAGGTCCGAAGGCGAAGTCGTACTGCTGACTGTAGAGGTGTGACAGCAGTAAGGTGTTTCCTTCAAACAACCAGCATGACAGCGATGCTGCCTTCCTACAAGGAGGGGTGGGGTTAGAAAAGGTCGACCCTAAAAATGCACACCTCGCCTTATCCCACGGATATCCGTCTCCGGCGGTAAGGTCCCAAAAAGTACGGAGCCAACACAAAAATTACTCATAAAAAGGTTGTGTGTGACCGACCTCGAGCAGTTGTCCCTTGAGCACTGCGGTCACGCTCCCAGGTCACTAAGACCACCTCTAATCCAATTTCCTTTTTAGGTACCTCCAAAACAACCCTTCCACGGTGTGAGCAACCGGGGAGTGATAACCGCCCTCATACCTCTAACAGCACTCAAGACCACTAGGGAAGCTATATAGAACTAGGGTATACTGGGCAGCTGTTTTGCCCTGGCACAGGACTCCTTAGCAGTGCACATCCACGGATCTACCTACGGTTCGAACCAAGACCTTTAGGTCTTACAGTAGACGCTTAACCGTTAGAACCACTGGGTCGACGTCCAATGAGATGATTTGCGATATGGTGTGGTGATTATACAATGCTATTGATGACCTATCAGTTAACACAGTGTAAATGGTCCATATTAGTTCAACAAAAGAGCAGACTAATACAACAGGTCATAATTTTAAACCGCAAAATTAATTATGTACACCTTTATAAACATGCACACGTAGCAACTATGTTATACCACAAGGAAACATACCTGTAAAGCGTTTAGCATCAGATTCTGTAATTCTAATGCTTCCATTAGATCGCTATTCCATATTTTGCTGCGATCACTAACTTTTAAATCATTCATTCGAGAAGCATATAATTCATACATTTTTCTACAGCCCTCTTTGAGAGTAGGACCATCACGAAATACTGCAGCATACTCTTGCATTGTTCGCTGCATTTCTAATCGAACCTACGTTTTAACAGAAAATTCAACACTGTAAAATGTATGCATGAATATAGGCAAGTTGTTTGTGTGTTCGGTACATTCTTAATTATCGGAATATTCAGTAAATAGTTTCCATTTGTCAAATTTGAAATAAAGCTTTAAAAACTAGTTACCACTGAGCTATCCGGGCCGCAACTGACTGTGAAGCTGGATGGCACGGGATTGAATCATCCAGGGAGCACCAGTTCCCTCAAAATCACAGGTACACCTTGCTGACGAGTGCCAAGTAGCACGAAACCCGGGTCCAGGGTTTCCTGTCGACTACCTCCAACCACCATCTAATCTCAACCATAATAAAATCCGCAAAAGCTTGGTTTTTATTAAGGTCATTGATTTAAAAACTTTCAACGTGTAATAGTAAATAAACCACTCTGAAGAAGTCACTTACATTAAGTCACGAGACGTCAGAAATACAATTTTTCTACTCATTGCGATATAACAAAAATATATTTATTATTAACTCAATCCATATAAAACTATCAAGTCCAACCTTGGTATGAATACCTATTTCAACACGTAATCCATATGCTTAAACTCATTTCCAGCTACGGGGTTTTTACAGCAAAATGGTGTTATCAAGTGGCTCGAACCCTACACTAAACTGGGAAGTGGTACATAAAAAGTAAAGCCATACCGTTCAGTTTGAGGTGAAAAATCGGGAATATTGAAAATATCTCAGTAAAAATAAAAAATGCTACAAAAAACAAAGCTAACTCACTTGCGCGATTGGATAATTTCCATTTGCGGTCCGGAGTTTTTCATAGTTAGCGATGGAGACCTCCCCGGTATCTGGTTTTAACTCTGGACCTGCGTCTCCAGGCTTATTTTTCGCAGCAATGTCAAGCGCACATGCACGACCAAACACAACTATGTCAAGTAGTGAGTTGGCACCTAGTCTATTAGCGCCGTGAACCGATGCACAAGCAGCTTCACCAGCAGCATATAGTCCAGGAACAACCTTATCTTTCTTAGCAACCGGATCATAAGTCAGCACCTACAGAGTAACGTAACATGTACTGATTCAAGTTCATTTCAAGTATTAGCCTTTAAAGAGAATTAAGTGAGTTATTTATGTAGTAATAAAACTGAAGATAAAATAATCACTTATTGTTAATCGTGAACATTAATTTATTCTTATGAAAGTGTTCCGGTGTCAACGTTAACGTTATGTTATTCTACTTAGACAGTTTACATGATGATTATGGACTAATCTATTCCGATATCAGCCATGACTATCTCGAATTTACGCGAGTGATTAACAGACATGTACATAAAATGGTTGAGGTAGAGAAAAGTAAATAGATAGTGTAAATAGTGTAGGGTGAAGCATAAATGTACATCAGTTTAAGTTGCTACACTTCAGACCAGTATAAAATGAATTTACAATGGGATAAAAAGATTGTGAAAAAACTGAGAACGAGAAAAGTTGTAGGCTGGAAACCTTTCAAGATTAAACACAATGATACGCCCAAACCTTAGGAGAATGAAAACATTTGCGATCGATTTTGAGATACATCACTTAGTCTATGTATGAAGCGACTGTAATCATAAAACGGTTTCTTGTTCAAAGACGCGAAGGGTGATTGGCAAAATACAGATCCTACTAAGTGAGAACTCATGTACACTACAGACCGACAGGAAGTTCGCAATGCACGCAACCCTATAATGTTTTAACAAACAGGGTGATTTCATTAAGCACTTTAAAATCAAAATGAGACCTTTTTATTCGAAGAAGGAATGGACGGAAAAATTGCGAATGGTAAATGATATGTTCGAAATTCCTTTATAGGTTGGTAATAAACATCAACTTAATATAAAGTCAGCTGACTGTCAATCATCATAAATAGGAAAGTGTTAATTAGTGAAACATTGTTCATCCCTTTAACTTAGTACATCTGAGTGACGAAGAGGCAGAAAATAGCGGACATTGGAAAACTGCAGTCTTTAAGTAACTGAAATGTCACCTTACATTGGACAGATACAAAACAAGTGGCACCCTTAGATTATCACTTACGGTGCTTACAAGACATAGTTCAGCCCTATAACTTGTGAGAAATGTGCCAGATCCAAGTGTTTTTTCGTTAGTCTCTATAGTAATAAGAACTAAGCATAGCCTGTCTTCAAACGGCAGAGCCTAAAGGTCAACAAATGAACCAATACATTGTCAACCCCGAATAATGTGAAAAAACCTTGCATGTCAACAGAATTTCTTAGAGAAAATCTTTAACTAACCTGTCCTTTATAGTTTGTAGGAATTCCCCCCATATTATAGTGGACGGTAGGTAACACAGGAATAGGATCCCTTGTAACATCAACACCTGCGAATATTTTTGCTGTCTCCGATATACCAGGTAGTCGACTGTGTAGTTGGTCTGCCGGGAGATGAGAAAGTTGCAAAAATATGTGGTCTTTCCTAGGGCCAACTCCTCGTCCTTCGCGAATCTCAATTGTCATTGCTCTTGACACAACGTCCCGAGAAGCTAGATCTTTAGCATTAGGAGCATATCTCTCCATAAATCTCTCTCCTTTACTATTAATGAGATAACCACCCTCACCTCGACAGCCCTCGGTGATTAAGCACCCAGCCCCATAAATTCCTTCGAAGTTACAGAAAATATCCGCACTTACCTGTGGGATGAAACTGAACAAACTCCATGTCTTGATTAGGCAACCCAGCCCGTGTGACCATTGCCGTTCCATCACCTGTACAAGTATGTGCTGAAGTACAGGAAAAGTATGTACGACCATAACCCCTATCTGATAAGAGCTAAGAAAAACGACATACCCTGTAGCGAGAACTGTATTTTTAGAACGGAAACGATGCAAAGTCCCATCCTCTAAACACACAGCAATGACACCACGACACTCGCCATTTTCCATGAGAAGATCCAATACGAAATATTCAATGAAATAAGTGGCGTCATAACGTAATGACCGGCCATATAATGTATGCAAAAGTGAATGCCCAGTTCGATCCGCAACTGCACAACAGCGATGGGCCTGACCGCCGCGCCCATAGTCTATGCTCTGACCACCAAATGCTCGCTGGTATATTTTGCCGTTCTCCAAGCGACTAAAAGGTACTCCATAGTTTTCCAACTCGATAACGGCTTGTGGAGCCTCTTCACACATGTAATGAATAGCATCCTGGTCACCTAACCAATCGGAACCTTTGACTGTATCATACATATGGAAACGCCAGTCATCAGGCTCCATATTCCCAAGAGCAGCATTTATTCCACCCTGAGCAGCAACGGTGTGAGATCTGGTTGGAAATAATTTTGTTATAATTGCAGTTTTGAAACCCTCATTTGCGAGGCCAAAACCTGCACGTAAACCCGCCCCACCTGCACCAACAACCACCGCATCGAATGAATGGTCAATAATAGTGTATCCGCTAGTGTAACTTCGGTTTCGACATTTAAAAGACTGGTATAAGTTGGTTAAACGGTTCAACTTTGTAGCTTTACGGATGGCATTTAGAGAAAGTGCCAGATGAACCATACTGAGCGCGTGATGTCAAAGAGCCAATTTTAAACCACAAACGTAATTTTCAGACTCAATCTTCAGTCTTCAGTAATAAGAATAGGAGATCTATCAACCTATATTAGTCCTTGCAGTTTGGAATACTGTGGAGTTCCGATCCCGTTTTGAATATATTGTAGCGGTAAATAAGTTTCCAAAATAAATAGCACTGTAAGTTTTCGACATTGGATCCTGACCATATGTTTTAGTGGACTCATCTAGCTGAAGGCGCTCGGTCAGTCATCCGCACCAGATCACGTGTGGTAATGCCGTGCTCAACATCTACCGCAATCGCTAGCCAGATTAGATCAGAGAATTCCGATATATTGGTTATCGCCAACTATACTCTCCCGATCTCCTCGACTCTGTCTTTTGATTTCTCTCGGTGGGTACAAATCATATTAGAAGGTGTTACTGTTAGAATGGTTGTCAAACACTGAATACCTGTCACATCCTCATTGGTGAGACCGACGTGATCTGGTACACCTAATTGCAACTGTGAGTCTGTTCCTTTTTGGGATTTTTATATATCATTGCCTTATTTTTTATTTTTTAAACATTGTGATTTTTTCGTGTTTTTTTTCTTGGATATATATATATTTTTTCCCCTCGTTCATTATCGTACTTCATATTTCATCATGACTGAACAGACACCCAAAGTACTCAAGCTTAAGACTTTGTCCCCGCCTTCGTTTCAACTGATGCCTTTCTGGCCCGACAACACGGAAGCCTGGTTCTGTTACGCAGAAGCCGACTTCTCCGAGCACGACGTGCATGACACACGTGCACAATTCCTCGCAGTAGTCAATGCACTACCGCGCGAATTCAAAAGGTACGTAACACCTAGTATGTTTACTAGTGATGTTTCTTAACTTTACGAAACCTTAAGAGGTTCGATTCTTAAACAAGGAGACCTAACCGATCGACAAAGGTTAGATCAACTCTTTAATAACATAGACCTGCAACATGGTTCTGCGACGGACATGTTTCAAAGAATGAGAGAGGTTATAGGCCCAAGAACTTTCGACGAAGGTCTATTCAAACAATTCATCTTGTCTAAACTTCCCCAACAGGTGCAAGCGGTTCTAGTCTCGTTTCAGAACAACGCCTTAGACGAACTGGTTGCATCTGCCGATCGTATTTTAGAAATTACGAAATCTACTACCGAGGTTTTTTCAGTCAAAGAAAAGTCTCAAACGACTCAGAATGACATAACCGAGTTATGTCATACACTCACGCGTTATCTTAATCTTCGTACCGACCGTAAGAGATCGCGCACTCCACGTAGAAGCATTTCACGTAAGCGATCTGTCTCTAGACCACGAGAGACGGATAACCCAGACTGGTGCTGGTATCATAACCAGTAAGGGAAGTCTTCCAGAAATTGCAGAAAACCCTGCAATTTTCTCATCACGAAATCGACTGACTCGAAAAGCAACTCGGGAAACTTCCAAGCAGGCATGCGTTAACGGCAACCGTAGCCGGCGAACATAGCCGTCTGTTGTATGTCACAGATGTGACAACGAGAGTTCTCTATCTTGTCGACACTGGCGCAGAAGTTAGCGTTCTCCCAGCGAATTCCAACGACGGACTTCATGAATCGACCCTAAAATTACAGGTGGCAAACGGAAAACCGATCGCTACGTATGGCAAAAGGTATGTTTACCTTAACGTGGGTTTACGCAAACCCATCCACTGGATCTTCGTTGTTGCACATGTTTCTATGCCAGTCATTGGTATGGACCTTCTACAACACCATAATCTGATCATCGACACGCGCAAACGGAGGCTAGTAGACGGAAACACTAATTTGTCCGTTTGCGTAACTTCTTTTTCTGGTTGCAGATTATCCCCAGTCACAATCAAGCATACGATAGACCCACTTTATCAACCACTACTCGATAAGTATCCTGACATTCATCAAACGCAACCGAAACTACCGTGTGTAACCAGCAACTTTACACATCACATCACGACTACAAGACCACCTGTGTTCTCTAAAGCACGACGACTAACTCCAGAAAAGCTAAGGTTGGCGAAAAACGAGTTTGACCATATGATAAACTTAGGAATCATACGACCGTCAAATAGCCTATATGCATCTCCGTTGCACATGATCCCTCAAAAGGACAGCAACGATTGGCGTCCAACTTGTGACTATCGACGATTGAATGTGAAAACCATCCCCGATCGTTACTCGTTGCCTCACATTCTCGATTTGACAGCTACTTTAAAAGGTACAACTGTCTTTTCGAAAATCGACTTGGTTAAAGCGTATAATCAAATCCCTAAGGCTACTGACGATATTTCGAAAACAGCTATCATAACCCCCTTCGGACTCTATGAATTTTTGCGAATGCCTTTCGGTATAAGAAACGCTGCACAAACATTCCAAAGGTTCATAGATGACGTTTTCCGAGGTCTCAACTTCGTACATGCGTGTGTTGACGACTGTCTAATGGCAAGTCCGGACAGCGAATCGCATCTCAAGCATCTGGATCTTGTTTTCGAACGACTACAAAAACATGGCATTACTGTAAACATCCAGAAATGCTGAATCGGAACCGACTCATTAGACTTCCTAGGACACACTACAATTGCTCAAGGAATCCGACCCCTTAGAACCAAAGTGGCGGCCATTCTGAATTACCCAGAACCGACCACCATCAAGCAATTACGCACGCTTGACAGCCTCGTAAGTTTCTATAGACGTTTCACACCGAAATGCGCATTACTTATGAAACCTCTTACCGACCAACTTCGTGGAAATACGAAATCGATTAATTTGGACGACACTGCACGAAAAGCATTCTCCACAGTTAAGGAACTGATTGCTAAAGCAACAATGCTCGCACATCAGGACACCGAAGCACCCATTAGTATCTCAGTAGACGCATCCGGCTCAGCAATCTGAGGCGTCTTACAACAATGGGTTAACAACTCCTGGCAACCCTTGGCATTTTTCTCTAGAAGGTTGCTAGACACCGAATCAAGGTACAGCACATTCGGTAAGGAACTCCCAGATATGTATCGTGCTGTACGATATTTTTAACACTACATCGAAGGTCGTGAATTTACTCTTTTCACTGACCATAAACCACTCACCTTCTCTCTAAGCTCTCCTTCAGACAAGTACTCTCCCCGTGAGTCTCGACAACTGGACTACATTTCTCAGTTTACTTCAGACATTCAATACATCTCTGGAGCAAACAATGTAGTTGCAGACGCTTTATCTCGCATAACTTCTTTGAACAGTTTCCAAGGAAGCGACCTTCTTAAACTCGCCGAGCTTCAAAAAGAAGACACTGATCTTCAGCACGAGTTATCGTCCACAACCCTTAAACTACGCATCAAACAGATGGGAACAGATAAGGAAACCTCACTGTGTGACACATCTACAGGTAAGGATCGCCCAATCGTGCTGAAATATTATCGACGCAACGTCTTCAACACATTGCACAAACTTTCTCATCCAGGTGTTCGTGCAACCATCAAGCTTATAGCAGAACGGATTTGCTGGCCTGGCATGAATAAAGACGTGAGGGAGTGGGCAGGCTCCTGTGTAAGCTGCCAAAAATATAAGTTTATCAGACACAATAAATGTCCCTTAGGCTTCTTTAAAACTCCCGACGCTCGTTTCGAACATGTTCATCTGGAGTTGGTGGGACTTTTACCAGATTCAAATGGATACTCTTACCTCTTAACCTGCGTAGACCGTTTCACTCGATGGCCAGAAGCAGTACCTATCAAGGACATCACTGCTGAAACAGTAGCTTGCGCTTTCATCGAACGGTGGGTTGCAAACTTCGGCTACCCTTCAACCATCACTACAGACCGCGGACGTCAGTTTGAATCCGAAATTTTCCGTTGTCTGACCACACTTTTAGGAATCACTCGCTTCCGAACGACCGCCTACCATCCACAAGCAAACGGGTTGGTAGAACGTTTTCACCGACAACTAAAAGCTTCACTATCAGCTGCAAACGTTTCCCAGTGGACCGACGCTCTACCACTCGTCTTACTAGGTATCCGCAATGCAGTGAAAGCTGACATTGGATACACTGCGGCTCAACTCGTTTATGGTACGACACTTTGACTTCCAGGAGAATTCGTGGATCCTTCTTCTTCTTCGATGAACATGGATCTAACCTCCTACACGAACAGGCTTACAAACACAATGCATTCAGTTAAACCTGCTTCCACTCGACCTCAATCAACCGATGTTTTCGTTCAACCTGACTTACGACATAGTACACGCGTTATCATTCGTCGAGACTCCATCGACGACCTTTCGAACCAGCATACGAAGGACCTTTCAAAGTTCTTCAACGCGAACTGAAGTACTATATAATCGATAAGAATAAAACCAACGATAGCATCAGCATCGATTGCCTTAAAGCAGCGTATTTAGAAGGAAATACTATCCACGTCGATTTTCCTTCGGTACAATTGAATGACACGGCTCCTACACTTATAATACTTCGTCCGACAACCAACACGCGCGATGATACTTCGAGAGTATCTAAAAATAAAATTAAAACAACGCGTTCTGGAAGAAGAGTAAGGCTTCCAGAACATTTGAAAGACTGTTGCACGTAGGACGCTAGTTAACATTTTGCTTCATCTTGATTTTCCATGGCATTATATATAATATAAAAAAATCAATCTATATATGCTTATACTTATATATAGTTATTATTTGCTGATATGTATACCAAAAATGTTTTTTAGTAAAACAAAAGCAAACATTTTAAAATACTCGCTTTTACGCTATCAAATGTAAATGAGTTTATTTTTCTTTTCTCGCCCACTTTTTTCTTAAAGCGTGTACGAGTTTATTTCGACATGCACTTACATATTCTTTTTTCCTTTCCAGGACGGCTGGAAAAAACGATAAAAAGAACGATGAGGTTTACGAGGAACCAAAAATTTTCATTGTACATTATTATTTTACCATATTGTACTTCATGGTCACTTATAGTAAGGAAGGACGACCAGACGCTGCTAAACCTAGCAAGCTATCAGAAGAGTGTTTGCCAACGACAGACGCGTTGGGTTTGAACTTCTGGCTGCCCACGTCTTAGGGTCATCACCAATTTACTAGGGGTGGAGTGATCTGTAGCGGTAAATAAATCCCCAAAATAAATAGCACTGTAAGTTTTCGACATTG